TTCTAAAAAAGTTCCAATTTCTCAACAAGTCATAAGCCATCTATCGTTCTGAGTTTCGTTGAGTGTTAATTAAAGTAAATCAATCAATCTTTTCATCATTAAATTAAGGAACTTATGAAAACTTTTTTGCGAATTCATTTTTCTTTGCCAATTCGAACCCTAATCAATTCTGTTTCATCACAATTGAAATGGTCTAAGTATCGAATTGACCCTAAAAATCTCAGTTTCATTATCATGAAATGATAGAATGGACAATCTTATTACAGTTAGAACTTTATTTTCCCCGTCGAACTTTTTTTCTCTCCTTCACCTTGGCCTCATTGTCTCTATTTACATAGAACGAAGAGATCAGATTCCCTCGAAACTCAAATTTCGAACATTTTTCTATTAGATTATAAAGTATTTTTCGACTATTTAGACGAGAAATTCATTCAAATCTTCCCTGTATCATGTTACTCACGAACTTGATTATAATGTAAAGTATTAAACACTCACAAGATTGAGTTTCTAGAATCAATTTGATTATTTCTATTTAATTATTCTAATCATTTGTAAGATTTAAGTAAATGGTTTGGAAAAACTAATTTGACAATTTTTCTTTACACAGAAATAAGAATCTGAATCAATTGAAGTGTATTGTAAACTGATTCAGTCTATTTGTTCAATTATGTATTATTATTATCAATTGTCAATACGACTGATTTAATTGTTTGATTCATTATTCAGGATTGATTGTTATGGTAACAATTTACAAATAGAAATAATAATAAGCATGAAGATGATCAGTTGTAATATCTATTGATTAGTTTATCAATTTAATGAATAAGATGAAAGGTATTGGATCAGATTTATTGGGTTATCAAGGTGATGAGAAGATAAGAGTGGGAGGATAAAGATGATAAAGTGGGATAAATGAATGGAAATGGATAATGAGAGAGAGAGAGAGAATTGGATAAGGTGGAGTCGATTGGAATAACAGAAAATATATCAGAGAAAATATTAGATAATAAGATTCCAATGGATTCTGAAAGGTATCTGGTTACACTCAGGATTTTAATCTGAATAAAAATCTATCCGATTGAACCTATGGGGTGAATGAAGTGAGGACGTTGAAGGGAAGAGATGATAAAAGAAGAGGAAGAAAATGATGAAGACGATGAAGGAAAAGGTTCAGGAACTAGAACAGGAAATATCGAGGTTCGAATGTATTAATATTTCTCTCATTCTTCTATTAGTTTTTTTTCCTTTTTCATCTCTGCTCGTCTTTTTGTCACCCTGAAAGAGAAGATGAAAATGATGAAAAGATGCCAAATATGATGGAGATAAGGAATACCCATGATTATGAGATTGAAATAAAATGAATGAACATGAAAGATGAACATGATACAGGGAATGACTGTTTACTATTATAATCATTATCATGGACAAGAATGGTTAATGGATCCTGTTCAATGATAATAACGAAAGATTGACTCAAGATTCAAAAGAGATTCATGATTATTATCATGGAAATGATAAAGTTGTGAGGAAGAAAAAAAGTTCTGAATAACAAGAAAATATCTTGTTACTTTTTACTCCTCTTCATATGAATATTATAACATTTATTTCGAGGTGAGAAATGGAAACAATCATAATGGTAACAAATAATTCAATGGCAATTCACAGGAAATTCATTGTTTTGAGAAATCACCATGAAAATATCATCTCAATCGCTCTGAGTTCAATTATTTCAGTTCATTTTCATATGTAAATGAAAAAAACCGAAAGCTCAGATGTGATTTAATTATCATAATTTTAGATCCGGTTTAAAGTCCGATTGATATTGGGACACCATGAAAAATGTATCATACTCAATGGCGATGACGAAAACTTCTGAACTTTTATTCTGATCTTTGACACCAAACGTTAACCACTTTTACCATTCACAAAAAAAACTGAATAAACTGATTGATGAAATTTCCAGGACAATTTTTTCCTATTTTTTTTCATCTTTTCCTTATAAATTGTTTCATGGGTGAATGAGCTTTTTGTTGGTGTAGTTGTATCATGAATGAATGGTGAAACTGAATTTGGAACTTTTTTCTTCTTCATTCCAACTTCCTCCAACTGAACAATAACAACAACAAAAACAACATTCTGACCTTAGAGAGCCTTGGGAAAAAAATCTCTCTCTCATGAGTTTTCATCCATTGATGAATGTGATTCCAGATTCTGACGAAATTTCATCATCATGCTCTCCATCATTATCACGATTATCGCTTAATCATAAACACAATCAACTACAATCAAATTAGAAAAACATAAAATTTGTTGAAAAAGAAATGTCATTGCCCAGAAAATATCAAAAATCGTCAAATTTATTTCATCTTCCCCTGAAAGATGAAACTTCATGATAAAAAATTAAAGATTAAATTGGTAAAGAATTCAAGAGAAAATTACAAAAGAATGCTAATTGTCATTCTAATTACCAGAAAATTCTGTAGCATTTGAAATTATTGCTCAAAGAAAGACTGAAAATAATAAATGAATGAAAAAAGTTCTGAAAGAAAAAATTTCCAAGGTTCATGGGAAAAAATCATTTTCTCCATTTAAATATTAATACATAGAATTCTCAGCCCTTAATGATAATAATCATGAGAGAACATATAAAATTCTGATAAACTTTTTCCTTATCATTATCGTGACCTTTTTTTGTGTTGTTGATGAAACTTATTAATCCGATGAAATTGAATAGCCTAAAGGTTAAACATAAGACTCAGGTAAATGTTGATATGATAATAATAATAATATGGAATAAAAAAGCAACTAAGTTACTCTGAGAATTCAGGGAAAATAATATGAGCCAAAAGGTAAGAATTATTATCGATAATAAATATAATAATAAACACGATATTAAGTTAAGATAAATATTCTTGAAGAAAGATGAAGATAACTTCCTATTTATCCTCAATATCATCACAGAAGATGAAGATATAAATTTACCTCTCTCAATACACTTATCATCCTCATCTTCATTAGTCTTTTCATCATCATCATCATCAATAACAACATGAACCTTCACACCGGATATCAAATCTTTAGGCTCATCAATTTTTATTCATTCATCAGGATGAAAATGATGATTAACTTGCTATTGAAATTTTGGCTTCAACAATTGATCATGAAAGTTCAATTCTTTATCCTCAAACTTATCCTTATATGAAACTTGATGAAAGTGGAGTTGATAGATGAATGAATCATTCCCAACACCAACAACATGGTGGATAAAATTATTGCAAGGATAAGCAAACTGTTGAACAAGATGGTTCCCTTTGTATGATTATCATTCAATATTTGATTTAATTTTATCTACATCATCATCTTATTTTTTTTATCTTCACCTTTATCTCCATCAATTCTGAGTGTTCATTTTCATCCTTTACTCTTTCATCTCCCCTGAAATCACCATGTAGGTTTATTATAAACACACACACACAATCAATCACTATCTTATACTCACACACGCACTCTCCTTGATGATGATGATGATGATGATGAGAGAGAGAGAGAGAGAGAGAGAGAGAGAGAGAGAGAGAGAGAGAGAGAGAGAGAGAGAGAGAGAGAGATGTGATGGAGATGAAGATGAGAATACGCTCTCTCTTTCTCTCTCGCTCTCACTTGAATTTGTTTCTTCATCTTCTTTTCTCATTCACTTACAATCCTAAATCTTGTTTATTTCTTCTTCTTATTTTTATCTTATTTTTGTCATCATTCTCACTCATAGTCACTTTCTCTCTGTGTTTACATCTCGAATTGTTGATGTTCTAATGGCCTAAAGAATCGCTATTACCTTGGAAGAAAAATCTTCCATATTGTCCTTCGATTATCATAACAATCGTCATCATCTTAATCTCCTATGAATTGAATTCTCATGTAATGATTAACTTTATAATCTTTTGTTTTCCAAGTTTCTTTTTCTCTCTCTAAACAAACCTGATCCACTTTCTTAATTTACTTTAATTCCATCCCATTGTTAATAGTTGTTCATATTCCAAATGGATTTATCATGTAAACTTTTCATTTCTATCATCATGTTTATCTGATCAACGAGAAGGTTAAGAAAAAGTTTCAAATTCCAATTCGAAATCAATGTGATTTTACTTTCGATTACCGATTTTGATTTTTTCTTCCAATTTCATCCCTTCTCTTTCCATCAATTTCATCATAATCATGGTCATTTATCGTATTCCAACTGAATTCTAATCGAAAATTTCATTCTTTCTCGTTCTTTTTACACTTTTGTATTGTTTTCGTTTTGCAACATTTTTTTTCTATCATCAAGTTAACCCAGAAAATTTCAACTCTTTTTCCCCTCAACCAAATCAAAGTAACAATTAGTTTGTGATGGTGAATATTTGATTGTGTTCAGTGTTTCTAATAATCAATACTAATTGTGATTAAAGTGATTCGACAGAAAATTAAATGCACAACAATTGAGGTCAGTCAACAATCAACAAGAAAAAAGTGGTTACATTTAAAATCTGTTGGGATTAATATTGTTACTTTTGTGTTGTCGGCGATCATTAGTTAATTGTGACACTGATTTAAATCACTTTAACTTGACAAATGCACTTGATTGTGATTAAATTTTGATACCAGTGGATTAATTATTTCGACTTTTGCAAAGAAAATTAAAAATAGTGATCAACACAAAAAGAAAAACATTTTCATTGTATATTTAGTTATCCCGTTAATCTCAAAGTTAATCAGTTAATCTTTTGACTTCTCAATCAATGAATTAATCTTGATGATTTTAAATCATTGGTTATGTCAGAGGTTAAAGTTGCCATTAGACAACAATTAACACCAAAATCAGCTAATCTAACAAGTAACCTGATAACTAAATCAACGATTAATTCAATTTTACCACCGGTGGAATCAGTTGATCACTACGAATCTCCTAAATCCTTGACAACATTTGATCATCATCATGATCACCAATCACCATCATCATCTTTTCATCCTTGTCACAACATCAACACCATCAATCTGAATCCGAATCGGAATCGCCAACAATCAGTGACCTTTGGTCAATCAGCTCAACGACAACAACACCAACCTCCTCACCCTTAGCCTCTTTATCCACCTCTGCCCTTTTAATAGCTCTGAATGTTAGCTCACTAATTGTCCAAGGCTCATCTTTACTCTCTCATTCATCATCATCTTTATCTTCCCTCTATTCTGATGGTAAAACAAATGATGAGAAAAATATTATCATCTTTTCATCATCATCAAAAGGATTAACATCATCATCAACAAATTCACCTTTATTATCCCATGGAAATGGATCATTACTTTCATCATTCCAATCAAATGGATCCAATTTGATAGTAAATTGTTGTAATCATAATTTAACAAGCAACACCAATTTACCAACTAATACAATCATATCAACAACAGAATTTAATATCGATAATGATAATTCAACATCTATTGTTGATTATGTTGGTCAAGGTTTCGGTATTAGTACATTAAGTGTCTTTGATTTTTACGATTCACCATTTAATGGACAATTTAACCTAACAAGTGTCTTCGATCAGGATAATTTACAAACTAATTGGACTAATCAATCAGTTGTAATCTCTTCCAATTTGAATACATTATTTAATGATACAATCATCAATTCATCTTATATCATCTCAGGTTCATCATTATCTCCCCTGAATCCAAATGATATTATTTCCGCTAATTGGACAACTGAACCCGATCTTCGTATTCATCATCCATTTCTTGCTCTTCTATTAGGAATCATTTGTCTTCTCGTTATGTTTGGTAATATATTGATAATGGTTGCGATTCGTCGGGAACGTTATCTTCATACGGTCACCAATCTATTTGTGGCCTCGCTTGCGGTTGCCGATTGTCTTGTTGGAGCCATTGTAATGCCCTCTTCAGTGGTCCACGAGGTGATGAACAAATGGTGGATATTTGGTCAAGATTGGTGTGACCTTTGGCACTCTTTTGATGTTCTCGCTTCAACAGCTTCCATTTTAAATCTTTGTGTCATCTCACTTGACCGTTACTGGGCCATTACCGATCCAATCAGTTATCCTGCTCGAATGACCAACAGAAAGGCCAAGATACTCATCGCACTTGTTTGGACTTGTTCCGCTTTAATCTCTTTCCCGGCCATTTTATGGTGGAGAGCGGTTTCCTCGCCACCTCGACCTTTACGATGTGACTTTACGGAAGATGTTGGTTATCTCCTTTTCTCATCGATCATCTCATTCTATGGACCTTTGATCATCATGTTAGTCGTTTACCTGAGGATTTATCGAGCGGCCATTCAACAGACAAAATCAGTTAGAAGTGGAACTAAATCAATCGCCGCCATTGATGGTAATGAAAACAACGCTGTCGTCCTAAGGATACATCGAGGCGGTGGAGCGGGTGTTAGCACGGGCGCAAGTGTAAATCCAAGCTCAGGGCCCGTTGTCTCGAGTTCAAGCAATTGCTACTGTGAAATTGAGAGTCATAATCATCTTCATCATCATCATCATTTTAATCAATCATCTCAACATCATCTTCACAACAATCATCAGATTAAATCACCTCGTCTTGTGGGTGAGGTTTCATTTGAAGAATCATCTGATTACCTTAACTCAGATGATAATGGTCTAAGTGTTAAAGTATCATCAGTCCGCCATCGGAACATGAAAGCTTTTTCATTAAGCCGAAAATTGGCTAAATTAGCCAAGGAAAAAAAAGCGGCCAAAACTTTGGGCATCGTGATGGGAGTTTTTATATTATGTTGGTTACCCTTTTTCATTGCTAATCTGGTCAAGGGATTTTGTGGTGATTATTGTCTAATTAATCCTGATCTTGTCTATCCATTGGTCACTTGGTTGGGCTGGTTGAATAGCGGCATGAATCCGGTCATTTATGCTTGTTGGTCAAGGGATTTTCGTCGAGCTTTCAAAAAGATCTTATGTTCTTGTTATAAACCAAAGTCTAATCGTGGAACCAAAATACTAAACCGACCCGGCGGTGGTACTATTGGTGGGACAGTTCAATCGACGAGATATAATAACAATAACAATAATAAATCAACGATGAATAAAAAAAGTATCAGAATTAAGAGTAACCATAAAAACGATGAGGATGAAAATACCGTTACAATTGGCGATTGTAATGAGAATAACAATTTAGAGAGTGACAATTATTCACCAGTTGATGTATTTAAACAATATAATCAAAGCGTTTATAATTCAAATCATAACAATTCAAATAATAATAATAATAAATCACCCAAGTGCCCAAACGATTCAATCGGAATGATTGGCCTGAAATCGGCGAGTTCATTTAAATCAACTCGAAAAGAGTCAACAGTTAATGATATTTTTTTCTTAACCAAAAAGTGATTAATAAATTGTGGATTATCAGATGAAGATGATTGATAAAATGATCTACTCATGATGATGGACAAGCAAATCAACATCTCGACAGATAATTAACTAAATTGTTGAAATCACGAAAATTAAATAATCTACTCAGTTGTTGATGTAAATTGTTGTTGATGATTAACTCTTGATAATAACAACAGTTTATGAGTAAATAATGAATGTCAACAATCAGTTTGATTGTCATTATTAGATTTCACTCTCTTAATTAACTTGCAAGTTGATGTTTGATTGTTACGAATCTAGTTAATTACAAATCCTCTTGAAACGTTTCAATCAATACAAGAAATTGACAAAAACATGAAGATGAAGATGAAAACATGATGATAATCATCATCACACCATCAGTATGATCAAGATGATTACGAAAAAGTGATGAAACTAATGGATTTGTAAACAACAATTAACGAAAGTTGATTAATACAAACAAGGAAATTTTTTCCATACTTTCACTTATCATCTTCATCTTCATCCTGATCATCATCAACATTAACATTGTAAGTGAAAATTAATATAAATCATGTTCACAATTAAACTTTGATGAGAAAACAAATTAAGCTCAATGATTAGAAGCAGGAAAATAAATTGATTTCAAATTAATCATCGACTTAACAATTAACACTTTCATCACTTCAATTAAGCTCATCATCTCTTGATTATCACCAGAAATGATTAATTTAAGATGAAATATTTAATATTAATATTTGATTTATCTCTTTCTTTCTATATCTTTAATCAAAAGGAATTAAATTAATTACGATTAACTAAATTGGAATTGGATGGAAAATATTTCATCGAAAGGAACAATTCAAACAATCTAATGATTAACACGTTAATTGTTTCGCTGGATTACAAGTAAAATCTTAAATTACTAATCATATAAATCACTTTCATTTTTTCAACTTGTTGTATTCTAATTGTGATTAATTAAAACGATTAAATTAATTACAATTAAAGGAGAAAAAATTTCTTACTGTTATTAAATGAATTGCTCGAAAAAAAATGAGATATTAATTGTTATTGTTTATCATCACTCTTGGTTTTTCAAATGATTTCTGGTTAGACGATTAACTTTTCCCAAAGGTTAATTAATTTGCTTGATCATCATGATAATTAATGAAGATGAGAAGATAATTATAATAGTAATGATCAAGAGAGAAAAGGTAATATATTAGTTAATGAGAATAAGGAATAAAAGTTGAATAAACTTTTAACTTGAGAATTGAAATGAATTATTAATTGTTAACTTTTTCTTCATTAACCTTTTTTTTCCCTATCTCATTGTTTAAGTTAATTTAGATTCTGTAAACTTATTATCATTTTAACAATCAAGTTGATTGTTACCTCAAGAGATTTAAATACAGTTTTAGGTAAATCCTTTTCTATTTGGGAATTTTTCTCTCACTCTCTCGGTGAAATGTCAGATTGATTCAGGATTGAATTAGATCAGACTACTAATTGCTGTTAGTTACAGGGAATTTAGGGAAGGATAAAAGGGAAACGTGATGAAGAACAATCAACGATTCCAATGTAGTTGTTTAACACAGAGATTCACTGGATTAGATAAGAATACATTGAGTTAATAATAGAGAATTTTCATTAAATTGTTGAATAAGAATAGAAAACAAAAGAGTGGCATGAGTGTGAGAGAGAAAAAGGATAATAGGGAATCGAATAGAGATAAATCAAATAGAGCATAGGACAGGTTGATACACAGAGGATAAAGATGAAGATGATGATTAGGATGAATGAGAACTAAAGTTGCAAGATGTTGATCGTGGAGGGAAAAAAATGCTGTCAGGAAAATGTCTGCTATTAGAATAATAATAGAGAAATGTTGATGCTCTATTGATGAATATTCTTTTTCCTTCTTCCATGGTGAATGTTCTAATATATATAAATATATCTGTTAGAGAAAAGAAGAGGAGAAAAAAAAAGATGAAAATGCTGATGATTAGAACAGAATATGCGAGAGAAAAAAAAAGAGCAGAATAAACTCTAACCACTGACACTCAAGAAGAAGATTTAGTATTAATAGTGATGGAAATAGAGATAGAATGAGATGGGAGGAGAGAGAGAGAGAGAGAGAGAAGTCTTCATTTAACAGGCCATGACATATTCTTGATAACTGAAAGACAATGGAGAGAGAAACTGAAACAATTTGATGTGAAGAGAAAAAAAGTATCAAGAGTTGGAGCTGAAATGGAGAGAAAATCTATTCAAGGTATAGACAAATTGTGTGAGTGTTCCTGTTGTCACCATTGGCTCAATTTCTTTTCTCTTTATTATTACTTCTCTTTTGTTTTCCATCTTTTCTCCTGGTTCTATAGATTAATTCCATGATTATAACATGAGAGACCCTCTGGGCATGATTTTAATTGAAAGAAAAACTTTACGCCATCACAAGTGATAATTTACGAAAGACTCTTAGATTATTTTCATGATGAGACTTTAATGTGAATGATGATTATTTGCTAATGAAGAGAAAGATGAAAGAAAATAGAAAATGTTAAGTTAAGTGGTAAATAGAATTTTTTTGAATAAATATAGAAAAAAGAAAATGGATGAATATTAACATACCTTTTCAATGAGAGTCAATTCAATTGACTCAATTGATCTTGTAAAGTAAATCAGGTATTGTCATAAGATATTAGGATAAATCACCAAGGGAATTTTAGATTCATTTAAAAGAGAAAAATCATCCAAGACAATGGGAAAAAAACCCTCATGGAAACACAGGCAATTAGAATAGAATATTTGTTTTAAGGTAGAAAATGTTTCCATAATTTTTTCTTCTTATTCCAAGGATCACATTAATTTTTTACTAATATTCTTTTTTCTTCAATTCCTTTGGCGCAGAGAGAGAAAGTAAACATTTGCCAATCAGTGTGAGTTAAGAATCACATGTGATGATTTAAGTTAATTTCTTAAAAGGCACAATTAAGAAATCATTTCTAAAGAGAAAAGAATAAAAAAAAAGCTAAAAAAGAAGAGAAGAAAAAATAACAAGTTAATGGTGAAGATGGTTTTTCTCTTTTTTAAACTCGGAAAATTTAGAGATAGAAAGAGGGAATAGAGAACAATCAAAAGGTTACAATTAAGGTGTCTAAACATGATGATTTAATGTTGAAGTAAATTGAAATCAAATCAATCAAACAATTGGAAACTCACATATAGAAAGGAGAGAGAAAGAGAAAAAGAAAAAGAGTAACTAATGGAGATGAATAAAATTAAGAATCATTGGGAACGTTTACTTACCCTGACAATGGAAAAACAAATTTTCCTCAACATCTAAACATTTCTTAAATCATTTAGACATAATCAAGTAAATTGTATAAATTAAAATGAACAATTAACAAGATAAATTTAAACTATTCACTTGAGATTCAGTGACGATTTTCACAAAACCGAAACTCGTTGTTTACGGTTGCTAGGCAACCGTTGCCATGGAAAAAGCGTTTGTTTTTGATTTTTTTGTGTTTTCTTTTTCAATTAGAGTTAATTAATTCAATTTCTTTGATTTGGTTTTAATTGTTGTTAGAAAACAATTTTCTCCAAATTGTCTGTCAACTCACCCAACTGTTGTTCTATTTTTAAACGTGAATCTTTTCCTTCAAACCATTTGGATTTTATTTCATTTCATTTTTAGTTTTCTTTTTTAAATTTTTCTAAATTCACACAATTTAATTGTTATCCTTGATCACTTTCTTTTCAAGGCTAATTGGACATTGTTTTCTATCAACCTTTTTTTTTCTTCTCTCTCACTGTCTCTTTCTTTCTTCATCTCAAGGTAGGTTTTCGAAATTTCGATTTTCCTTTTTTCAAATTCTTTCTTTTGTATCTTATTTTCGGTGACTTGTTTTTGACTCTCTTATGTTTCTAATTTTGGAAATTTTCTATTGTTCTTTTACGTCTCAATCTGTCTCTTCTTCTTTTCTCAGTTAACCTGTGATTAAGATGACTGACTCACCGGTTAGACAATCTCAGAATTCTAGTTTAACACCTAGAAGTGCCAAATTCATTTCCGTTATGTTACCCAAAAGTGTCCTTTCAAATAACCAAGAAAAAAACACTTCCATTGAGGGTAAGTAATAATCATCTCATATTCACAGTCGATTGTGTTATTTTTCCACCTCTCTCAAAATTGTCAACTCTTTTTGCTAATTATTTGTCTATTTCTCTGTTTTCTTTTGTTGATTTAGATTTGGTGCTCACTGATCAATCAAAAGCTTTCACTATGTTGAAACAGAATAAAGGTTCAAGGATAAGGATGTTTGATAATTACGAAGATGCTTTCAATTGTAGCTTGGAAGGTATTAGTGATCCTGAATCAAATCGAGAACCTTCAAAGGAAAAAGTCGCTGCCAATTTCCCTACACCCTCACCTCCCGAATTAAGTGTCCTCCGTCGAGCGATAGAACGAGGTGATTTAGATTCAATCCGATCTCAGGTATCAACAAATCCTAAATTTCTAATCACCACCAGTGATACTCCGGTCATTTTGATGGAGGGGCCTCGTTATAATGCCGTTCATATTGCATCCAAATTCAATCAAGTTGAAATTCTTGATTTTATCCTGAAAACTGTTAATAGTCCAACTTTCATAAAAACATTGTATCCAAATGATTCCGATGAGATTACGGAAGCAACAATGAAACGTTTACTCGATTTATACCTGAACACACCCGATAAAGCAGTAAGTTGTAATTAGAGAACTTTTTTTTCTCAATATTCTAATGGAATTTTTTTTGTTTTCTCCCCTTAAGGCTCTCGATACTCCGTTACATTTTGCTACTAAATTTGCCGCCGTTGATTGTGTTAAACTGCTTCTTTCTTACCCTGATTGTGATCGAGGTCGACCCAATAAGTTTAATCAAGTTCCATATGATGTAATATGTTCAAGGAAAAACGATGAAAAGGCAAAGAAACAGATCAAAGATCATTTTGAAGCTCGATTTTATGTTGCAATCAATCGTGAATTTGATCGTGTTACCGTTTGTAAGCCAAGTGAAACACCTCCTCTTGATAACAGCATTTCCGGTATCGCTGGTCCAATGTCACCTAAATTAGCGGAAGAAATTTACAATACACTTAAATCTCCACCGAAAGCTTCCTCACCTCGTAAATTTCGTATCCGTTTCACCGATGGATCTCGAGGGGTTGAAAGGGTCGCCTCAATGGAGTGTCGTCGATTACATTTAAATTGGGTTGAATATTGGCCATTTTTAGATTGTTACATTGATTTAACTTCACCTGAAGGTCTTGAGATGCTGGAAAATCATTTGAAAAAAGTTCACAAGGTAACTAAGTCTTAAACTGAAAACTCAAAGTGAAAACTTTCCAATTCTCGTAACAATTAACATTTACTTAAAGAGAAAATCATTTAAAGCTTTTAGATTGCTTGAATATAAATTGCTTTGGCTCATATTAATAATAATTATTAACAATTTGCTTTGCTTTCTAATCAAAAAAAAAACTTTTTTCAGCTTAATTGTTGCTAAACAGTTAAAGATGAAAATGACTGAAAGGAAAAGTGTCAATCATTGAAATTGTTCACAAATTAATTCACTATGTCGTTTGATTGTTAATACTTTTTCCCTAAGCTTATATAATCTATTAATTAACTGTTTATCAACAAATTGTTTATTTTTCTGATTCTTCACCACAGGATCTTACAAGTAAGCAACCTGATGAGGAAGAATCTTCAAGATTGATTGAATCGCTATCAGAATCCAATAGCCGAGATCAAAGTACAATTAGTTACCTTTGTGATAGACTTGGCTCTCTTGCTCTAATCTCAACATCTCAGGAAATAAAATCACAAGCTGATGAAGATGAAGATGCAAATGAACAGGTCGATGATGTCCAGTTAAGTGACCAATTAAGTAGTGATGAAGAAAGTGATGAATCTTATATGACACCTCCATCAAGTCCAATAATTCAAGTTGATTACTATGTTAACGGGTGAGTTGTGAAAAGATTTTCATTTACAATCAACAAGTGTTTAAATTTTTTCTTTTTAAATCTTCTTTATTAGTTCATTGATGACCCAAAGTGATAGAGATGCAGCAAATGCACTGGCCGAAATTAATATTGACCAATTTAGATATCCATACCTAGCCCAATGGTTGAGAAAAGTGAAACTTAAACAACCAATTCCATCTCCATTCAAGGAAACCCATGAATCAAGTTTCTCTAAGGAAATGTTTAACTTTGTTCCAACTGAATCAACACCAAGGACAAGGAAAAGCATCAACTTGATTGATCTAATTACACCTCGACGATACTCTTTTAACGATCATACAAACGAAGAGGATAAGGGAGATGATGATGATGATGATGAAAATGATGTCTTCCAAGATAGTGTTTGTCACTTAACTGTAGATATTAGTGATGATTCTTACAAATAAGAATTCAGTCTTCCATTATCATCTACTGATCATAATCAATTGCAAGTTAAATCATAATCACAAGGATGGAAATATCAACTTCTTAAATTTGTCTAAATTATTTTCCACTGTTATCATTATTGTTATTGTTATCAAATTGTATAACTTTATATACATCTCTCTGTCTCTCTTTTGTGTTTACGGGCTAAGATTATATGATTTCCATGTTTAACATTATGGGGTCAACTTCTGAACATAGAACAGTTCAAATGAGAGTAAATTACTACCTTTTGTCGGCGATGGACCCAATCGATAACTGGGCCAACAGGAAAAATGAAAAATTGCACTTACTGTACATTTCACTCTCAAACCAAATGATGTAATTAAACGAGAGACCATTTTCTGACCATGTTGAGGTTAACTGACCCTTAGATGAAAGGTTAACATAAGCAGTTTCAAAGAGTCGAGGTAAAACATTGATGGAAAGGTTTAGTTAATCAATTTAATCATTAGGGTTCTAATAAGATTACTTGACTCGGTTAATTGTTTCATTAAGATAGTGATTAAGTTTAGCCAGAGAAACATCAGATCCTTGTAAATTATGAGGACATCGTAAATCTTTTGGACGATATTCCTTTAAAGATCAGACAAACAGTGAAGATGAGGAAGATGATGATGAAAATGAAGATGATGTCTTTCTAGATAGTATTTGTCACTTAACTGTAGACATTAGTGATGATTTTCTTAGAGAATATAAAAATTTCAGTCTTCCATGGAAAGGAACAAAGAAAAACATTAGTTTATCATCTGCTGATCATAATCCATTGAAAACTAAATCATAATCACAAGGATGGAAATATCAACTTCTTAAATTTGTCTAAATTATTTTCCGCTGTTATCATTATTGTTATTGTTATCAAATTGTATAACTTTATATATAATCATCTCTCTCTTTGTGTGTTTTTGTTTACCGTTACTCACAAAGAGAAGGAAAAAAGTTCGATAAACAAAAACAAGAAATTCGAAAAAAACAATGAGTGTTTTTCCATGAGACTATGATAGATAAATGTTGATTATCAGAATACTTGACCCATCATTTTATGGAAACACCAAAAGTTACTTATGGTTGAAAGATCTTTAAGAAAATCAACTGAGTGTAATTGGTAAAAAGTGATGGAATGATGATCATGATGATGAAGACAATGTTCATGTTGAGGCAAGTGAAATGATGAAGATATCATTTCATAAGGAATAACAGTGCAAATATGATGAAGAAAAGATGAAAATATTACTTAGACTGTGATAATCAGAGGGAGGAAAAGTAGATAAATAGAATTGAATGTTTTCTTTGCTGACTTTGGATCAAAATGGAAAACAATTAATCTCTTTCATTCCGAGTCTTTTTAATACTTTATTTCTTTGTTTGAGAACATTTTATCAACAAATTAAGGAGAATTTGGAAAATTAATTACAAGAAATACTATTTTGTTTCATTGCAAGAATTAAGGTTCAAAGTGATATTATTTTCGATGATGGAAAGTCTAATTGATTTTCTGATTTAATCATTACTATTTTGCAATAAGTCATCAAATAAATTATCATGACCTGCTAATCTGTACATGGGAAGAGTTTAAATATTGAGCTTGATTGTTAAAAGACAATTGTAATTAGCTTGTTAATTGATTGATTTAAGGTCTATGGTTACATCAAATCCAAGAAGTTTTGACCATTCAACACAAATTGATTGTTTCTCATAATTAACGTTCGTGTCTTGATAATTAATTTCCCGAATTCTTGGTTCGACTTTGGGCTTAAGTCTATCGAAATGTAACTCAGGCCAATCAACTAAAGTTCCGTTGGTGACAAAACCAACCATCAATTCAATTAATCTCTTGCTTTTCATCTCATCTCTAACAGAATAACTTCCGGTGCCAAAGAATTGGAGATTTGGATTATTCGGTCTAAGTGGATTCCCGAAGAAAAGTTCAACTGAATCTCCATGCCAAGGTCCATCCGGTCGAGCTTCAGGTCCATACTTGTCGAGAATATAATCAAATTCAGTGAAATGAATCGAATGTCGATTAGAATAAATTTCTGACAAAGCCAAAGATGTACATCGAAAAGAATAATCATTCATAAAGTTTGTCAACGCAGTTCGAAGTGACCGATCATCTCCATCAACGGAATCTTTAAAATAGAAATCGTAAAATGGTTTCATTTCAGTTTCAGTTAAATCTTTTTTGATGTACGACAAATGATCCCAAGCCATTGACCAGCCTTCAGCTCGAGTTTTCGGCTTCAAGTATCCCCAAAAAGCAGCCGTCTCATCCTTTGAAATTCCGTCGACAATTTTTATTTTATGACTTGTGGAATTGAAACTTGACCAGAAAAGATCGATAAGTGGCTTTGGAATTAGTGGTGTTCCATAAACGGGAATGAAAGCACAATGTTCCGCTCCACCGATCGCTTTAATATCTTCATCTTGATTCTTTTCAATAATGATCGAAGCGTTTACCGTTTGTAAGCAACGAACAACTCGTTTGGTCAATGGACCTTCGGGAACTGGACCACAACCCACTTTTTCCGCCAACAGTTTAGTTTTGTCGATGGCTATGGTTGTATTTTCAATGAACATTGGATGAACTGAGACACCCGAAAGTATAAAGAGTTGAGAGTAAAGGGAATGATCAATTGTTGGAAGAACGGGAAAAGTTGAACTAATCATTGAACCCGCTGAATGGCCACTTAAAGTGACCTGCTCAGGGTCACCACCAAAGTAGCCAATATTTTCACGAGTCCATTTTAAAGCCGTTATCACATCACTTATGCCTTGGTTTCCTTGAATATGATCAGTGTCACCAAAAGCGAAACCAAAAGCACCTAAACGATAATTAATCGTCACAACAATAATTGAACCTAAAGAGGTAATCACATCACCAGGGTTATCTGAACCAGATCCTTCTCGATAACCCGAACCATGGACCCAAAGTAACACAGGAAGTGGACTGATCTTCGTAATCGATTCATTAACCACCGGTCGCCAAATGTTGAGAAACAAACAATCCTCGCTTGTCCCTTCGATCGGTAGTTGAGTACATTTTGGACCATAAGTATCGGCCTTTAGAATACCCATCCAATGGTCAGAGTTTACCTTCGAGTACTGAAATCGTTTCGGGATTCGGCCATATCGGACACCAAGAAACTCTTCGTAATATCGGCCTGCGATTCCTTTTCGATTACCTTGAATTTTTCCAAGCTTCGTATTCACTATTGGATTGTCATTACCAAAAGATTGACCAATGGCCAAGCTAATGACCAAACAGAATTGGACAAAATATAAACAATTTGAATCCATAGAAATAAATTTCACTAATTTTTTATTTACTGATGATCACTTTTATCCACCCAGATCCAATTACAATTTGATTAATTGTATTGATGATTGTTTAGTACATTAAATGTGCCAATAGTTAATTATCCTGCTGATTGTTGAAGTCATAGGATATAACAAAGATTGCAATTGAATACAATGAAAACTTATCATCTAATCAACTACCAGTTGATAAAGTAAAATAACTCCTTAGTTGTTAATACAAATGTTAATCAATTTCATTTAATCTCTTATGTCCATGTGAAATTAGATTGTTTAATTTAATTCAACAATTGGCTGATAAATGTAATCAAATGTATTCATCAATCAACAAGGAATCATTTTTGTTTTTCTAAATTACAGTCAAATCAACTTGAGTTGTTTGTTTTTTCATCATGAAATGGATAATCTTTATTCAGCAAAATGACAAAGATTTATGAGAATTAAGGATTAAACATTCATTGATCTTGTTTCTTTAAAAGATGGACACATTTCGAGTCGATGATGAGGTTACTGCCCACAGGCGACGGGCCAGTTTACGGGCTTCGATTATTTGATTTCCAGGTTTAACATGGGTCAACTTCTGAACATAGAACAGTTCAAATGAGAGTAAATTACCACCTTTTGTCGGCGATGGACCCAATCGATAACTGGGCCAACAGGAAGACAACAATTTATCGACAAAATTAAAGCTCATCATACTTGGATAACTCATTAGATCAGCTGATGATTTACTTTCAGGAACTTTCAAAATATCTCCCTAAAAGAAACAACATCAATAATAATAATAAATAGAGAAAAAGTAAATATGATTAGAAGATCAGAAACAAAATCAAAGCTCGAATTTAGAAAAATTCAACTTACATTTTCACTCTCAAACCAAATGATGTAATTAAATGAGAGACCGTTTTCTGACCATGTTGAGGTTAACTGACCCTTAGATGAAAGGTTAACATAAGCAGTTTCAACGAGTCGAGGTAAGACATTAATGGAAAGGTTTAAATTGAGCAAATTAAAATCGCCAATGGCATCATCACCATCGTCAACTTTGGCCATGATTAGTTCATTGAGATTACGATCGACGTAAATAAAACCAACTAGACCAGGAACCACGTCGAGATAGGCTTCGATGGCCATGTTTCGTTGACTTTTCACTCGAAAATAATCAAGATAATCTTTGAAAATGTAGGAACAACCATTTTTAAGGGAGAACAGAAAATTTGTGACAATTGGATCGCTATTAAATCTTTCAATTAATCGACTATGATGGAGATAAATTTTCTCACAATAAACTGTCTTTAAAATTGTCGAAACCGATGAGGCCAGTGAATCGAGTTGAGCCGAAATCTCTTCCATTCCATTTCGACTGAGAATATGTTTACGTATCTCACTTTTGGAAACTTGATTCAATTTAATCATTAGAGTTCTAATAAGATCACTTGGTTGGTTAACCGTTTCGTTGAGATGTCGATTAAGTTTGGCCAGAGAAACATCAAATTCTTGTAAAGTATGAGAACATCGTAAATCTTTTGGACGATATTGAAGCATATTCAGTATGTTTAGTAAATTGTGAATGTGAAAGGTCATCAGGGTTGTAGGTAATTGAGATAAGATAACTAGACTAATTTCTTCCGCTATTCTAATATAACGAAGGTAAAATGGAACTAAATATCTTTGGTCAACGGAAGAATGAAGAAATATTAACCTCTGGTCAAACTCTTTCCAACGATATTGGTGCTTCTTTTCTCGAGAATGTCCAACTCGCCGAGGACGAAGATGAGGATTATCACTTCGATAGGATGTGGGAGATGGTGAATTTGATGATGATGATGATGATGATGATGAAGTTTCCGATGATAATGATTCCGATATTAGTGCTAATGGTATTTTCTGAGATTTAGGAGATTCGCCATCATCATCGACAACGATAATATCACTTTCATTTTCTTTACGAGTTTCATCTTGGAAAATTACTTTTTCCTCATAATCTTCATCTTCGTCGTTAATATAATCGTCATCCCGGTTGCCTTGATTGTCTTCATCTTCCTTATTGTAGAATGACATCTTTAATTTATCCTCATCTTCCGAATAATATTCACGAGTCCGTTGCAAAGTATCAACTAGAAGAGTGATTAACACGAGATCTCCTTTATTCAACTTGGTAGCATTTCGACTAGAGCGGGAAAATAAAAAGATAACAATTAACTTCTTAATCATTGATAAGTATTAATAAGTTTGTTGACATTGCTTTTTGTCAATTAGTCTCAGTTGATAGCTGGAGTGATAACTAATTGTGATCCAAATAAACATAAATATGCTCTTTACCAATCAATTCAATCAATTTCATTTACATTATTACCAAACCAACATAATTATAATTTTATCTTAATTATGATCAGTTAATCATTTATGGATTAGCTAAATGGTTGAAAATAGTTTCCTCTCCATTAGATAATTGTGATTACAATTTAGGTTGATTACCTTGATGTTCGGGTTAATAATTTACGTTCCACGAAAAATAATCCATGAGATGGAATTTCAATTGAGAATCGATCCGTTTGAGAAGATAATTTAATCACGTTGGAACGAAGTAGATCACCGAATACTTTTTGAATCGATTGGCTGATGAACAATTTTTCCATTGCCTAAGGAGGGAAAATAAAACAAAAGAGAAATAATTAGTAAATTAGATTCCATAAACGCTCACAACAATCAGTTAAATCATATTAAAAATTGAACAATGTTAACCTATTAGCGAGTATGCTGTTAATTGTAATGAAAACTAATTGTAATGAGATGTTGATAGTAATATAATTTAGTGGATCTACGGATAATCAAAACATTGGACCTAACCCACCTCAACCAAATATACGGGACAAGATGAATTGATTAACCAATTGTTGTACATTGATGTTAATAAGTTCATTTGTTTATCATCACCTTTAATCTCACTGAGAGCAACACCAAACAGAAATTTAGAAATTGCCACCAAAGTAATCAAATTATGTTCCATTTGTTTATCATGGTGGAAATTGGTTGTATCGGCAACATAGAAAAATATATAATCCAAAAACTGTTGACAATTTAGAAAAGAAAAAAAAAAGAAAACAGAATTAGAATTAGAATTAGAATTTTTTTCGCTCATTTTCATGTTCGATTGATATTAATTCTATACCTGAGAGTGAATCAATTTAACGGTTGGATATTTATCTTGGAAAACGTCCAAAGTTGGACTTTCCTCGCCTAGAACTCGAATAGCGGCCACATAGGGAGCAAATATAAGAACAATCATATTCTCTAATTGTTTAGAATCTTTAACCAATAATTGAGTAACTTTTTCGACACTCGGTAAATCCGATAATTTAGAATCAAATACCAATGAGCTCAGGCCTTCAAGAAATTTTCTATTTGGCTTAACGTAGATAAGATAGTTGTTAACATCGAATATCATTAAACAATCCATAGTTGATTCTGTAGTCTTGAAAACGAAATTAGATTGTTATTAACCAGATTAATATTTCTACAAAAATAGTGAACAATTAAAATCACATTTAATGGTGAAAGATGAGAAGAGCACAACAAGTGATTGGGGAAGAAAACAAAGTCTATGTAATAATAATCACATGGGAGAAAAAGGAAAACAAGATGATGATAGAAAAATGATGAACCACAATTTGACGAATTTGTTGATTAATTAAGAGATTAAATTACAATATGAGAAGCATTTGGAAAGAAAAACACCAATTAATCAACATGATAATTAAAGAAAATGGTTGTTGTTACAAACAACAAATGGAAAAATGTTGAAGGCAAAATTAATTGAGAGAAAAACTGTTAACAGAAACAAAAGTCGAAGGTTAAATAAACTGGAGGGTAACAAGAGGAATGGTAATTGTGATAAAATTAACAAAAATCAAACCAAAGATTAATTGTCTTAATTAAATAGATGATTAAGAACAACAATTAACACAAGAGAGAAACATAAACAAACAGAAACATCGAGATGATCAATTGTTTGTTATTCCAAAAAGAGAATCACAAGCGCCATCTCTTGTTATCGAATTTAACTAAATTCGATTACTAACTTTTCCAATATAATTTTAGTTTTAGAATAATAAAATTCTGTCCATTTGTTATTTTCGAGTTTCAATATCGGGATAATGATCCATAATTTATCAATGTAATTAACTGATTGTCCACTATTCGATTCTGAGGTGGTAAGTTTAACAATAGAAGATGAGAAATGATTTCGTTGGAAAAGTTTCTCTTTTTCGAGTTTATCATCTTTATCTTCATCATCTTCGTTCATTATCTTCTTCATCCGGAAGACTATTGATGATGATAGAAGGATGAAGAGCGCATCATCCTAATATTTTCCTTTCTTCTTCTTCTTCTTTTTTTTATCCATAGAAATGACATCAGTTAAGGTTAACCTTTTCATCTTCTTCTCCGCATCCCTTATCATCCTCATCTTCAATTTCATTACTTTCTCATCTCTAAACGTTACCTTTTTATCTTCTTCTTTTTCTTCTTTCTTCTTCTTCTTTCTTATCATCCATTTATATTCTTCCTTTTTCTCACATCACTTTTATCTTCCAAAAAGGTAAGAGAACAACAAAGAGAAAACTTTTTTTTTCTCTTCCATCATCATCTTTATCATCATTCTAATCAACATCTTAATCATTTACATCTTCTTAGTCTCACCTTAATCTCTCAAAGGTAAAGTTAACCAATTGTATCGATAATGTTAACATTCAAATCTAACGGTAAACTTTTAATCCAATTTCCTGATCAATTTTCATGTGTCTCACAACCATTGTCATGATTAACTGGAAAACAACTTTACAGTTTGTAAACAATTAATTTCATTCAAGTTATAATCAAGCTAATTAAAAGTTATATTCATTGTTGAAATAAAAAAACAAAAGTGTAACAATCAAAATTGACAAAAAAAACGAACCAAATTAAGTGAATTGTGATTGTAATTATGAGCCCATTGGTTTTAACTTTTACCTTCTTGAATTATTCATTTTTCATCATAACCTTATCATCATCACCATCAACAACAGCAACAATAACATCACCATCATCATCATCATCATCATCATCATCTTGTGTAACCTCAGCATCAGTTAATCCAGGTAATCAAGCCTCGAGCAAGATTAATTCAGCCCAACTTGTCTCTATATCGGAAAATAATTCAGGTAATTTAATCACAATCAGTAAACAATCAAGATACGAAATTAATTAAAACTAGTAACATATCACATTCCAAACCTTTACCATCCTCATCCTGATCATCTTTGTAAGAGAATCAATAATTTCCGCTTCCTCAATTATCTCATCTCATTGGAAAAGTTAGAGAAGTGAAAATTTCATGATAAAAAAAAAGTTCAAATCCATAAGTAAGAAAACTTATTCTAAACATGATAACTTTTCCCCTGAAAAAAAAATTCCCATCATCCATGTAAACATTTCAAGTTGATATCTGAATTATTTGAAGGATGAAGATGATGATTAAATATCAATCCCAAGATGATTAACTCAGAGATTTGAACAATTTCCTTTGGTCCTTTTTTCACCTACAATTTTCACCACCAATTTCAATACTGATTCTGATTGTTCATTCATATCATGAACTTTATCATTATCATTATCAACGATTATCAATGTTATTTTATCCCAAACATTATTGTTATTTACACAGTAAATCAAATTGCTATCAAAATATTTACCTTCCCAATGTCTTTCTGATTCATCAAATCAAATCACAATCAAATGATAATCCTAATTATACATTTCCAAATTACTAATACCAATCATAATCGTTAGCAGATATAATAATAATAATGATCATCGTCATTACCATCATGATCAATCTCATTACGATTCAGTTTCCATGCTTGAACTTTTTCCTGAGGAAAAACCATCCAAATAATTTACAAACAGAGTAATTAAAGGTTCACCTATTAGAGTATAATGATAATAATTGAACTAGTTTTCCAAATTCATTTACCTGAATAATAATATCTCCATGAAGAATTTTTTTATCCTGAAAAATTGAGAATTTTTTACCTTTTATTTTGTATCTTGATATTTGACACAAAGTTATTCAAGCAAAGATACAGGGCTAATCTAAATACATTGTATATATGCAAATTGGATGCACACCTACTTTTCAATTTCCACCTCAAATTGATCCTCATCTTCATGGTGATGATAATAATCAACTAATCAATTTCACCGAACCAACTGGAAGAAAAAAAGATTAACTAAAATGTTGATGATTAAATTTTGATTGTCTTCCAACCTATTCAACTGATCAAGGTGATAATTTCATGGATTATTCAGTAAACTGTTTCGATCGTTTTAATTGTTATCCTTGATCATGAAATATTTTAATAAATTTCCATCATCCATAACTCTGAGCATGTGAATATCTGAATATATATCAATCAAATTGATATTCAGAATGTCAAATCATTTTTATGGGGAGGGGAAATGATATTATTATCATCAGAACTTATCATGAACAATTTGAACCATTGTTCAGTTTACTGAATTATTGTGTTCCCATCATGATGATATATCATCATGATGTATCAGAATGTGAATAATATCAGTAATATCTAATATACTATTAGGATAACAATGGGTTAACATAAACTAACTTAGATAAATGTTCAGGTTCATGGATAGTATCACATGAGTATTATCAGAATTTTTCTTTTTTTCTGATTTACTCTTAATTTAATAAGATATTTATTCATTGTTATACTTTCCTTTCTTTGTATTGATTAAACACTTAATCATCCTAACGAATCATGATGACAAATACCGGAGATAAAATCAGCATTGGAGTAGGAATAATAATATCTAAGCTAATAATGAAATTCTGTGTTATTATTACAATTGAAATAGTATTCGAATTACATTTTTATCGTTTATCGATTATTATTATTGGATAATTTATAATTTTTTCTTTTCTTTTATTCTATTCTTTTAGAACTTCAATCAAATCAAAGTGAATCGACAAAAATAGATGAAGATGAAGCTAATCAGACCAACGATGAGAGGCGATTACTCAATTATCTCATGAGAAATTATGAGAAAAATTCTCGCCCAGTCAAGAATGCTAAAAGTCCGATTGTCGTTCGCCTTGGAATAACCTTGACCCAGATTTTTGACCTTGTAAGTTTGTAAGGAAAACAAAAAAAAACTCTGGAAAAGTCAAAAGTTCATAATTTCCGTATCACTAATGAACTTTTCTCAAACTCTTAATAACTTATCTCTCCACTCTCCATGTCAATATTTCAAGTTTGAAGTTTATTATACCCTTAAGGTGAAACTGAATGAAAATTGAATCAATTCCCTTCTAATGGTTAATATATATTGTATTAGTTACTATTATTATCGTTATTGAATTATTGAATTTTTGTCATGGTGAATTGTTTGGGTGGGATTGGGTGATATTTCAAAGTAAATAACCTTTAGCAGTTTTCGCATGTTCATCTAATTGAATTTTAAAGTTAATAGACTTTCATCTAAATCTTTTGAGCTCAGGTAAAAGTCCACAAATTTTAAATCTACGATCAGATTGATGAGGAAATAAAGTTCTTAATATCATGAAAGATATCAAGACATTAATATGTAGAAGTTGATTAAAGTTCGAAAGAAAAAAAATTCGAAATCAGTGTTAAATGTTATATATTACAGTTCGATAAAAAAACTTATCGGTTATTAACTTAAATTATGAGTTTATCTTTAATTCATATTCTTGTTGTTGATTAACCAATTCGTTTATCGATTAATCATCTTACTTGTTATTGAACTTTTTCCATGAGTGTTCAGGTTGTAATACGATTCTTAATTGTCTTAGTTTGAAAAAAGTTCTAATATTAACCTAGACTCGAAAATATTTACCCCTGAAAGTGTTGAGAACTTATTTCCATGGAATTCATTCAATCTCTAGATATTTTCCATGAACTGAGTAAGGAATATCTATCGAACAAATTTTTGGAATTTTTAATTGAAAATGTTCAGAACTTTTTCTAACTTTGAGTAAATGTTTCTCTTTTATCTGATCTTTCAGGATGAAAAGAATCAAGTCTTAACAACTAACATTTGGCTCGATCAGGTAAGTAACAATTTACTAATTGTCACCATTAATTACAGAAAATGTAATATTAATCACTAAAACGATCAACTAATTACCAGAAAACTTTGCCTTCTATTAATATATTTGAGTTGACTCTTCATTTCCTTTTCCTGTTCAACCTAAATGGTTAATGATGATGATACATATTGATAATTAAGGTTAATTGCTAACTAATTACAAAACCAATGAAAACAAAATACAAATTTACTTAATTCCTAACTTCAATTTCAATGTAAAGTGTTTATTGTAACAATTAATTCAAGGCAAATAATTAAATTAACCATTAAAATCAACCGGAAGAAAACTATTCGTTTGGTAACAATTAGCATTTAAATTGATTAGTTGATTGCAAAGGTTAATTTTGTGAAAATGTTTTAAATTGTTGCAATTGTGATGTAGTTTTTTTTTATAAAAATCAATTGTAACTTTGTCATTAACTAATTACTCTAATGTTGTTGCCCAATTAAATTGAGTTGGAGTTAAAGTGATCAGCATGATAAGATTAATGGACAACAATCAAATGGATTCTAAGAAACTAAATGGCTCATGATAGTTGATCATTATCATGGGGCAAAGGATGAGTTACATTAGAAGTTCAGTTCATGGAAACGAAGAGAAAAGTCTTGGAACTTTTTCTCTCTCTTTCATGATTGTTATGATTTCTTTCAAGAATCGGAGAGTTGAATATTTGAGATAAAAGTTCATGATGATGATCATGAACGAGTTTAGCTTTATGTTAGAGTAGTTAAAAAGTTCTGAGAATCCAGCTGACTATCTCAATCTCTATCTATGGATAGTTTTTCCCTGAAAAGAAAATGATAGTTTCCAATGATTTCAAGATAAATTTTCCAGAAATTGAGTGGAAGTCGATAAAAAAAAACAAGTCTTCCATCATGTTCATCATCATCATCATCATTGACATAGTTTTCTTAAAGTTGATGGCAGGATATTCATCATAATCTTAAGATGAAAATTTCCAAAATTGAATCAGCAGAAAAAAAATGGAAAAGAAAAAAATTCTAACCCATAAAATCATCATGAACTTTCACCATGAGCTCAAGGCAAAGGTAAACAATATTATTATTAAAGTTTATTGAGAGACAAATATTACTCATAGATTCAATTTGTTTCATCATCATTTATTGTATTATTTTGTTTTCTCATATGGTGGTTCATGTATATTCAGAACTTTTATTATCATAATGGGTGAAAAAACTTGAAATTCTGTTAAAAATAATATTCAAAAACTTTTAGTGAATCTTTGGCATCTTCAGTTATGAACATTTATCCCATTTAGATATTACTCTGAATTCTGATATTATTATTGAAATTTTTTTCTCTCTCTCTCTCTCTTATAATCTACCCTGAATACATTAACACCACAAATCACCATGAATAGGAATGGGTTGATGATTTCTTAACCTGGGATGTTGAAAAGTTTGGAAACGTTTCAAAGATTCGGATTCCATGTGAGCTAATCTGGCTTCCTGATATTGTTTTGTATAACAGGTAAGATTCTGGATCAGATTTCATATTTTGGGAACAGGAAGAAAATGATAATAATCTGAATGCTAGAAATAAACGTTTATATGAGATTTATTCAAGTTTTCTTTGGATTTCCATGATGAGATAGATTCAAATATTGAGATTACTAATCTAAATCTATTCAATAATTTCTGTGTTTATATTAATACTTATGTTTATTTATCAAAAGCAAAATTGATGGATAAAAGGTAAATGGGTTTCTCATAATGATAACATTGAAAATATTCAGGAGATTCAGAGAATGATGAAATTGGAACAATGTTAATGTAGATAATAGGGAAAAGTAGTAAAAATGATCTGAAACGATCAGGAAATTAATCGATTATCGATAAAAATGATTCTCATCTCAACAAAGATTATATCATGTGAATAAATCAGAGTCACTTTCAGTTATCACCATGAACAAGAAATGGATTCATTTCCAATTTGAATTATCATTGAAATGATCATGTTTTCTAACGGTAAATAAGGGAATCTAATCTGTACCTGGTTTATGATTAAGTTAACCAGCAATTAATTTTTTTCTTCCTAATGTTATTATCATGATTATCATGAGACATGGAAAAGGTTGTTGTTGATTATTATTGTGATCAGAAAATAGCTTAACTGTAACAAGATTGATTAAATTGTCACTGATGATCATGTTTCATCATTGAATCATTTTCATGTTAACTATAATTAGATACAATCAACTGATTGTGTCTGTCCAGATCAAATATCGTCATTGATTAAACTGATTGTTATGATTGAGAGGTTACAAAAAAACATTATTATTATTTAAGTATTAATACTTTAATCATAATGATGATCAAAATTAATCCGACAACATGAATGGTGAAAAATTAGTAAGATTAATTTTCCTCATTCAATATCATCAACTTTCATGATAATAATACTTTCAATGAATTTTCAGCTGATCTCATCGTAAATTTCACCATATTGATCATAAGGTTAGCTGATTGTTCAAACATGATGAGAAATTAAGTTGAGAAAAGTTCTGAACCATAGAATCGGAAAGTTACCATGGAAAACTTTTCTTTGACTTCCTTTTATTAATTCATTGATGAAATGATATATTAGATTAATTTACTGATTGTTGACCAAAATCATAAGAAATCAAAGGTTGATTAAGAATCAAATTAACTTTATTAAGTTCCCATAATCATAATCTTAATAGTAGAAATGTTAATCTCATTTACTTCATTTGGGTTCATGATAATTTACAGCATTCAAATGAAAATGTAGATAAATGAAATTTGCTTGATTGTCAATGGATTAATCTTGATTGATTACATTGATTTTCATGATTAAATCAATTGTCCAGAGGTGTATCTAAGTTCAGAGTCAGTGATTTTATTATATTGAGTATCGGATTCAGTTTCAACTTTCATCATGTGTTTGTATTAAAGGTCAACAATTAGATTAACTTTTTCTTGTATCAAGACTTTTGATTAACTGGTTTAATCATCAATATGGTTCAATGACCATCTCTGTGTTAATATTGTGATAAAATGGACACTGGTCACTATTAACTTCAATAGTTAACAGATAACATTTGGTCAACCTTACATAATATAATTTTTTTTGCCTCTTCCTCGGTGATAATATAAATCATAATTGAATAACTGTAAACTAACCAATCATTTATCATATACATGATATTCAACTGATTGATTTTGATTGTTCAATCAATCATGGATACATAAATTGTTACAATTATTACAATGTTTCAAATTGATTGTGGATATTAATCAATTTTAATCAGTGTGGTGGTTAAAGTTAAACATTACAATAATAGAAACAAATTCATTGAAAGATTGAGTTGATCAGAGAGATGATCAAAATCATCTTGACTTTGAAGTAACTTGACCATTGGTCAAGATTGATTAACTCACACTTTATGTATATAAGTTAGTAGAGATTTGGTCAGTTCAAATGGTCAAGTATTATTATCATTGGAAAAGGTAAAATCTTGTGAAGAAACCAGAATGGACAATGAAACCAAACTAATCAATGGTGATTTTGCCAATCAATTCCCCTGGAAATCATTGATTGTTTCAAACTAATTTACAATTTGTCACCATTTACTTTCTGATAATTAACCAATAATCTTTATTATCTAACAATCCAAGTTTCACTATGAAAGAAAAAAAAATCAATCAATATTATCCAATTGATTTATTTACCTTTGGTCATCTAATCTAATCAATGACCAATTTAATCAAACAAACTAAATCTAAAACATAAAAGATAATCAGTTTTATCAGATTTATACTCATGAAATTATCATGATCATGATGATTTATCATTTGCCTTTTAAAATCAACCTCCAATGATTAATCACCAATATTATCATGAAAAGTTCAAGTGAAATTAGTGATAAGAGATTTTCATGAGATTAAAATATTCTAATATATTCTTATATTTATCATCATCCACCTACACTTGAATCTCCCATTGGAATTACCTGATGAAACTGAGCTGATCGAGTGACTGAATCAACGATTCGATAATTTTTCCATTAATTTTTCCAAAAAATTATCAACTAATATTAAAAACTTGATTAATTTTTCTAGTTCAAGATAAATATCCAAGCTCAACATTTCCAAATGTCAATCAATTTTTGTTTATATCCAAAGGGAATTGATTATTTAATTAACTGATTACTTGAGTTGTTGAAACTTAATTTTTGTCAAGAGAAAGTTTCAATTAGTAATCTGAAAGTGAACTCATTTAATTCAGTCTCAACTGATGATATTATTTTGTGATATTATATTCATATTTTCATGAGAATATTTTAATTATTCTGATTGACTTGTGACATTTTTTTTCTGTTTACGAATTTTTTCATTGAATTTTCGTCATTTTTTTCACCAATTTACTGTTCAGTGCTGATGATTATACTCGTGGTTACATGAACTCTCGAGCTATCGTCGAGCCAAATGGTAACGTTTTCTGGGCACCGCCGACAAAGTTTCGAAGCACTTGTCCAGTTGATGTTACTTATTTTCCGTTTGATGATCAAACTTGTTACATGAAATTTGGCTCATGGATTTATGATGGATTTCAGGTTGATCTTTGTAACCGAACTGCCCAAGTTGACCTTGAAAATTATGTTCACAACGGTGAATGGGATCTACTTGAAGCTAAACTTAATCGTAATGTTATACAATTTCCGTGTTGCATTGAACCTTTTCCCGATATTAAGATACTTTTAACCATCAGACGGAAAACGCTTTACTATATGTACAATATTGTCCTTCCCTGTATGATGATGTCCATCTTGACCCTACTTGTCTTTTGCCTGCCACCCGACTCAGGTGAAAAAGTGGCCTTAGGGGTAACCGTTTTACTTGCATTTTCCGTGATCATGTTGGCCATTTCTGAAAAGTTACCAGAAACATCAGAATCTATACCATTATTAGGTAAGATGGACATTACAATCAACTGGACACTTGTGTCATTAAAATAAGAAACAAAGACAAATAATATTCAGAATAAGTTAATGACCATTTCCATGGCAGTTTGACCAATTATAATGGTCACTGTCACTATTATAATATAATGATGAATTTAGCATATAAATTGATGATCAAGATAAAAGTTAAGATGTTGGTCAAGTTTGACAAAGTAAAGGTAAAAGTGGACAGTTATTAGAAGTGTTTAAGACTTAGGATAATGATCATTGATGAACTGTGTTAATCTGATCATCAAATTATTCAGTAATTGGACTAAATAATCATATCCATGTAATAGAAACATGAGTCCTAATCGTCAACATTTCACCATCATCATCTTTTACATGTTCATATTATCACAGGTATTTATTTAACTACTGTGATGGCCATTACCTCGGTGTCCGTTATAATGACCGTTATCGTGCTCAATTTTCATTATCGAGGACCGACTCAAAGTGAAATGCCTGATTGGTTGAAAAACTTTTTACTCCAAGAAGTTATTTCAACCAAGAAACAACACCATGATCAACACTTGACCAACCTTGAGACTCTCAACAGCAACAATGACAAAGATCAAACCAAATTTGACCCAAAAAAAGTAAGAATCTTGACCACAACGAGAAGCTGAAAGGTCAGCCTTTCGTTTTGTGTCCAGAAAGTTAAAACGATTCTCAAGAAAATGAACTTTTCTAGATGTTCAATTGATTTCTATTAACTTTCATGTTAACTCAGCAAAACAGAAAGTCTTGGATCATGTCATGATGATTAATTCAATCTTTTCTCTCTTCTTTCTCTGTTTCAACTTGTATTAGAACTTTTTTCATGATAAATTTAATTTCTCTAATAATTTTCCAACAAATTTCTCTGGAGGTTCAAACATTTTCTCAGGATTTCAAGCGAACATGGATCCAGGATCATTCCTGAGTTTCCTAGAATCACAATCAGCCAATTATCATTCTCATCCTCATTATACAACAACATCAACTAATCCTGATTATATCCGAGACAATTCAATGGAAACCAGTTCATCATCAACTGACCATCGATGTAATCATCATCATCCTCCTCATTCACACCATAATATTAATCAGTATCTTCTCAACAACAATAACTCATCATCATCCTCATCATCATCACCATTAGATATTAAATTTAATCAACAATACAATTCAACCAGAAACAGATCAACAACCACAACGACAACAGCATCAGCCACTGCAGTCGCTGCTGCAACCATTGCAACGGCAACACCAACAGTACAAAATGATCGTGGACAAAATCAAAATGACCCATCCAGTGGACACCAAGTGGACACACCTCAGGAAGAGATTGTGAAAATATTGAAATACTTGTTATGGCGACAGGAACAGGAAGACCGACACAATAAAGTTATCCATGAATGGAGACTCTTAGCTCAAGCCATTGATAAAATACTTTTCTGGATCTTCCTTGCGATCACTTTGACCTCATCCATTTCCTTTCTGGTCATTATCCCAATCCAACGGCGAGGATTCAGTTTCGCCTCAATAAGAGGTTAACAATCCATTCCAATAACGAAAGAAGCTCAATTTTGAAAAGTTCATTAAGAACAAAACGAAAAAAAATGAAAAATCTTAATTCATTTACATTAATTAACCTTTCTAACAGCAAAGACTAAGTTGAACAAAATCTAATCATCCTAATAACTTGTACCTTTTATTGTAGCTATCGAAGTTGATTTATATTTATATAGCTAATTGTCCTTGATTGCGGCTTCACAATCTTGTACAAATTAACTGATTCTATTGTTAATTGTTATGTATTCAGTGCCTTCTAATTTTTCAATTAAAAGTTGTCAATCTATTAAAATTTCACTCTTTTTCCAGTTCGCTTGATTTTTTTTCCAACCAACGGAGGTGTTGAATTCTGTACTCAATAATTGGCCAACAGTGGCCCATTGAACCTTGTCGGGTACCAAGAACGGTATTCGAGACTGGGATAGCAAATCAAATGCTGAAGGAAAAAGAGGAAAGAAAAATTATCAAAAACGAATGACAATTGTAAGATCAACAAGTGATCGTAAGTCAACTTACTGGGGATGCGAACGTCTTGTCCCATATTATTGTCCCACAACCGTTACGTTTGTCAATCAAGTTAAGATACCACGAGTTTACAAGATTAGTTTTCGACTAATTAACTTAGGCAATTCGGCTTGAAAACAGGTAGTTTATCACTTGGTTTAAACTACTCAATGGCTCTAATCCAGAAAGGTAGTTTATTAACCTATTAGATTTAAATCTTTGAAAACTGCAAATCTGATAGGTTAATTACAAACTTAAAATCTTAATAAATGTCTAAATTAATGTTAACGAACTTTTCTCAAGATTTAAATCTAACAGATTAATAAACTAACCTGGTTCAATGTTAAATAGATTAACTTGGACATTAAAATCTTGTGTGTGTCAAAATTTTGTTTAGTTTTAATTGTCATTATTTACTGATTGTGTTCGTGATCTTGTCAATCATCAATTTTTAGCTGCAAACAGAATGAGTTTCATCACAAATCTCCATTCTCGTCTCATTGAAACGAAACAGTTTGTTGACATTTTAAAGGCTCAGCTTGACCACTTGACCACATGTAATCCCGCTTATTCCTCAATGGACAACTGGACAAATAACTGTTCTCGATTAATATCAACACTCAAAGAGATACAAAAACACGTCTTAAGTCAGTGTTCCATGGCCATGGATTCAATTCAAAATCTTTGTGAAATTTTGGGTGAAAACTGGTTGACACTTAGGCAACTATTGGACACTTGTTATCAGTACTCACTAGACCCCAATCACCTCAATTTAAAGGCTGAAACGGAAAATCTTCTAGGACAATTGGTCAAACGGACTTTCGTTGTCAGTCAACAGCCTCCTCAGGTCCTCAAGACAAACACCCGCTTTCCCTCAGCGGTAAGATCACTTGTTGGAGGTCGATTGATTTCGTCTCGACAAAAACATGTTGTTCGTGCTTCAATTTTAAATGAATCTCAGGCTCGTAATTTAATGACCTCATCTCACGACGCCGCTTTGGTCGATACTTGTTCGGGTGCTATTCTCAATCGAGAATCAACCTTAGAACTTCATTCAACAGGTCAACAACTTGTTGCCAATTTTCGTACTATGACTTTGAAGAAAATTTCTCGAACTGAAAAAAAAGGAACAGAATCAGTTATGGATGAAAAATTCGCAATTCTTTTTCAGTCCGAATTGAAACTCGCCCACGGTCAACTTGTTTTCCATGTTCGGGTAAATTCAATCAACTTTTTCTCACTTTCTTTTTTTAATTATTGTTTTTCTTCCTGGCAAATTATCAATTTACAGGCATTATCTTCACCAGTGGTTGTTATTGTTCACGATAATCAAAAAACTAACGCTTGGGGGACAATAACATGGGACAAAGCATTCGCATCCCCAGTAAGTTGTTGATCTTACAATTGTCATTCGTTTTTGATAATTTTTCTTTCTTCTTTTTCCTTCTTCATTTGATTTGCTATCCTAGTCTCGAATACCGTTCTTGGTACCCGACAAGGTTCAATGGGCCACTGTTGGCCAATTATTGAGTACAGAATTCAACACTTCCGTTGGTTGTTATCTTAATTCAGAGGATTTAAGTTTCCTTGCTGCCAAAGCTTTCAGAGATTTCAATCTACAGGAATACAACTCAATTTATCTGAGTTGGGGACAATTTTCAAAGGAAAATCTTCCTGGTCGTAATTTCACTTTTTGGGAATGGTTTTATTCAATTCTTAGATTAACCAGAGAACATTTGAAAGATCTCTGGAGACCCGATAATCGACTCGTCTATGGATTCATCAGTCGTAAACAAACAGAGGATGTTTTGATGGATAAACCTGATGGAACTTTTTTACTTCGTTATAGTGAAACTGAACTTGGGTGTATTACAATTGCTTATAAAGCAGAAACAAAAACCGGAGATCAGAAATGCGTTTACATGATAAAACCATTCAGTCAAAAGGATATTCAGATTAGATCACTTGCCGATCGAATTTATGATCTGAAACACTTGAAATATTTGTACCCAGAGACCCCCAAAGATCAAGTGTTCGGCCGATTCTATGAACCCATGAAAGATGTCGAGCCAGACGCCGAAGGCTATATTCCACAGGCAATTGTAACTTCTATTCCTGAGTAAGTTATCAATATTGAAATTTTCGAGACTTAACTTTGAACCGAAGAGAAAAAGTGAATTTCGGTTGTTTTTCGAGTCCAACTCTTAGAAATACTAATCAATTGCTTTAATCATGTTCTTTTTTCTTTGATTATTTTTTCTCAGATGGGCCCCTGGAGGTGGAATCGATTCATACCCAAATACACCTCATTCTATTATCAATACTCAATCACCTTCGATGAATGAGAGCTACGGAGATTCACCAAGTTTGAAGTAAGTTCAATTCAGAAGGAAACTCATTCAGCTCTGTGTTGGTTTTCCAATTAATTAAAATTAATTTTCTTCTCTTTTCAGTTCAAAATCAAGCGAAATTTTTAAGGACGTTGATTTGTTTAATCTAATGCACGATATTGATTTTAACATAGATGATTTTCCCTACCACCAAGAGCTTCCAACTTTAATTTGATTGATTTAAATTGTGTGGATTAACTTTTGTAATATTAACAATCAAACATGAAAATCAGAAAAAAAGTTATTCATTTTTTTTCATTTTTCCTTTCAATTTTTTGTATTTCCCCTAAATCAATGTCACCATGATTAGTGGTTAATTAAATTGTCCATCCTCATCTTGATGATGAAGATAACAAGAAGTAACGAGTTAATAACTGTACAAATTAGTTTCATTTTCATCTATTAGTTATCGATTTGCACTCATTGAGATGAAAGTTTTTCTCATTCATATTATTAGAAGATTTGAAATTCTATCAGTAAAGAGACTTGAAGATGTTTCTGTCATCATTGAATTCGCCTTGAAACCTTCATGTCCCCTGAAAATTGTACTTCGTGAAAGAGACGAGTCGTAAAGTTCACTCATCACCCGAAATCTTTGCAAATCAACCCATGTAAATGAGCCATTGAGTAGTTCAAAATATTAGGTATCCACATAAGTAATGTCACTTTTTAATCATCAACTTTAATTGCGAGTAAAAAATTTAATTGTTGACCGATTTAATCAAAATATCCACCGTTCGAATCAAGTACTTTTCCCCATCTATCAACGAGATTTTCGATTCCAGATTTGAAAAAAGAGCGATCTTTTGAGGCCAAAAACTCGTCAACGGCTTTCTTGACATCACTTTTTGAGGTCAATATTTTGTTTCGAAGATAATTATCAAGAGAATGAAAAAGATGATAATCAGAAGGAGCAATCAAGTAATTGAGAACTTCACTTGAGGTCATTTAGCTTTCTACAATTTTCAAGTGTGATCTTGCATTTAAGATAAATTCGATTCACGATAGCCGGTAGTTTAGACTCTAATTCGACCTGAACTCTTTCTAATTGTCGAACATAAAGTTCACTGTTAATACTCTGACCAGGTTCTAATAGTTCATAATGAATGCATAATGACCACCAGATACAATTATTCCTGAATCGAAGTTAATCTTTGACCTTGTAGCCGAAGGTCGAGTCGAATTATCCCACATGATCCATTTTTCATCTGAGGTTATGAGTTTATCGAAAAAAATTTCGTTCTTATGACGGGAAAGTAACGAAGTACAGATCGATAATCGTTGCATATCGTCACGATTATAAAGCACATTTATTTAGCTTGATTCAAGGATATGTAGAGTCTTAGTTTCAGCAATTTGAACATTTGCGACAATTCCTCACAGGTCAGAAATGGGTTTTCTTCAATGGCCTTTTTCAGGTCATCGATCGAATAATTTGTCGGCCGTCCTGACTTAGGTTGAATAAGTGAAAAGCTTTAAACTTAGTACCATGAACAGAATGAACTGATTGTATCTTGAGATAATGTACAGTTGTCCCTAATTTGAACTCGTAAAGGTAAATAGATGGAAGATGGAAATTTTCGGTACTCATTTTTATCACAAAAAAACACTTTAATTTTATTCGATTTTCACGAAATTTGTACAACATCATCTTCGATCTATGACCTTAGTTATTAGAAAAAACCAATCGCTTTCCTACGCTAGTTCGCTTTTTACAGCGATTCAAAGTTGACCATTAAAAAAGTGACATTACTTATGTGGATACCTAATAGATAAACGAAAATAGCAATCAAAAAGATACGAATTGAATTCCAATCTGTTCTAATTCATTGATAGAAACACAAGAATGAGATGAGATTAGGATTAACAGGGTATTGGTAAGTATCATTCATTAAATTTGATTGTTCTTATTAAGAAATGTCACCAATGTCAAAATTTAGATGAAAGAATCACAATCAAGTTAAATGAAACAACTGATTTATAAATCATTGATTGGTCGATTATTTTTAAAGAAAATGAAATAAAAATTGATCGATTATTGAAACAACTCAGCAAAAAGTAAAGGCGATCGTTATAATTGTAATTAGCGTTGGCGCGAAACATTTTTGCTATTCAAAATTGAATTATTCCTATTGATTCCCTGCTTGATATTAATAATCAACCTTTTTTGGTGCAATTAAGTTAATCAGTTAATAAGTTAAGAATATTAATTGTGATGATGTTCAGATAATTCAGGATGTGTTTGGATGCTTGCAATCAAATAAATTCTTATTGACAATGTTGCAGGTACATTAGTACCTTTCTTATCAAGTGATTAGTTGATACAACAATTAACTAATTATTTGCACCAAAAGAGTGAATCAGAAACTTTTCATTCGTATTACTTTGCACCTCGAGCTTTGATATCTCAATATACAATATACATGTAATAACAATTCCTGTTAAATAGATCGTTAATATTGGATTGAAATTAATATGATAAACTAATTCCAGTTGATATAATTAAAGCATTTGCACTTGTTGCTTGCAAATTTCACTTAATGGTCTTGGATTAAACAAAATTCACTTTCAATGGATGAAAAATAGACAGTTGAATAGCAATAACATGATTATGTTTAGTTAGCTAAGTGCATTTGATTAAATTATCAGTCGATTGTTTTAAATTAATGAATCTATTGATATTTGCACGTGGACATTGAAAGATAAGATTTTATTTTACTTTATCAGATAATTGATTAATTGTTGAATTTTCATTATATTGGATGATTTCGATACATCCTATGATTGATACAATCAGGTAGATATTTAACAATTAAAAAAGTTGATCAGTTGAACAATAATTAAATTTTAATTAGGGTAAACGTGATTAGTTGATGAAAACTCAATCATAATGATGTATTTGATTACTTCATATGCTGTCCAGCTCTTTTTTATTATTAGCCTGATAGTTGGTCAGTCTCTTGGTGATGATGATCCAATAGTGACCACGAAGCTTGGACAAATTCAAGGTAATTTGAAAAATATCTCAGACCAATATTATGAAGAGTTTCTCGGTGTCCAATATGGTCGAATCCCGAAACGATTTCAGTACTCGAAGGTAAACTCTGACCATTGGATGGGTATTCTAAAAGCCGACACTTATGGTCCAAAATGTACTCAACTACCGATCGAAGGGACAAGCGAGGATTGTTTGTTTCTCAACATTTGGCGACCGGTGGTTAATGAATCGATTACGAAGATCAGTCCACTTCCTGTGTTACTTTGGGTCCATGGTTCGGGTTATCGAGAAGGATCTGGTTCAGATAACCCTGGTGATGTGATTACCTCTTTAGGTTCAATTATTGTTGTGACGATTAATTATCGTTTAGGTGCTTTTGGTTTCGCTTTTGGTGACACTGATCATATTCAAAACCAAGGCATAAGTGATGTGATAACGGCTTTAAAATGGACTCGTGAAAATATTGGCTACTTTGGTGGTGACCCTGAGCAGGTCACTTTAAGTGGCCATTCAGCGGGTTCAATGATTAGTTCAACTTTTCCCGTTCTTCCAACAATTGATCATTCCCTTTACTCTCAACTCTTTATACTTTCGGGTGTCTCAGTTCATCCAATGTTCATTGAAAATACAACCATAGCCATCGACAAAACTAAACTGTTGGCGGAAAAAGTGGGTTGTGGTCCAGTTCCCGAAGGTCCATTGACCAAACGAGTTGTTCGTTGCTTACAAACGGTAAACGCTTCGATCATTATTGAAAAGAATCAAGATGAAGATATTAAAGCGATCGGTGGAGCGGAACATTGTGCTTTCATTCCCGTTTATGGAACACCACTAATTCCAAAGCCACTTATCGATCTTTTCTGGTCAAGTTTCAATTCCACAAGTCAGAAAATAAAAATTGTCGACGGAATTTCAAAGGATGAGACGGCTGCTTTTTGGGGATACTTGAAGCCGAAAACTCGAGCTGAAGGCTGGTCAATGGCTTGGGATCATTTGTCGTACATCAAAAAAGATCTAACGGAAACTGAAATGAAACCATTTTACGATTTCTATTTTAAAGATTCCGTTGATGGAGATGATCGGTCACTTCGAACTGCGTTGACAAACTTTATGAATGATTATTCTTTTCGATGTACATCTTTGGCTTTGTCAGAAATTTATTCTAATCGACATTCGATTCATTTCACTGAATTTGATTATATTCTCGACAAGTATGGGCCTGAAGCTCGACCGGATGGACCTTGGCATGGAGATTCAGTTGAACTTTTCTTCGGGAATCCACTTAGACCGAATAATCCAAATTTCCAATTCTTTGGCACCAGAAGTTATTCTGTCAGAGATGAGATGACAAGCATGAGATTAATTGAATTGATGGTTGGTTTTGTCACCAACGGAACTTTAGTTGATTGGCCTGAGTTACATTTCGATAGACTTAAGCCCAAAGTCGAACCAAGAATTCGGGAAATTAATTATCAAGACACGAACGTTAATTATGAGAAACAATCAATTTGTGTCGAATGGTCAAAGCTTCTTGGATTTGATGTAACCATAGACCTTAAATCAATCAATTAACAAGCTAATTACAATTGTCTTTTAACAATCAAGCTCAATATTTAAACTCGTAATAATCGAATCGTCAAACGAACCCTCATAAATAAAAAGACAATTAACTGATTACTCTGTTTGGAAACAGTCTCAAAATTGCTCCTGGCACTTGAATCCCTATGAAATGAATATAACCTCCGAGTGATAGTCGATTCAATTTGCTAAACCGATTTGAGGTTCCGTTTTCTTTCAGTTCCTTTGGTTGTGATATTTTCTTTTCCAAAAATTATCCATTTGGCTAAGAAATAATCGCGTCCTTATCGCACTCATCATGGAGATGATCTTATGGTTACGCTTGGAGCTTCATATCGACAGTTTGACCCATTCATATCTTCATGACAGCAATTTAGATCCATTTTGTTTGAATTATTTAGTAATTTCATCAAAAGGTCTTCCATTAAACGATTGGCTAAATTGGATAAAAAATGATCAAAATTCATTAATTGATCAAACAATCAAATCTCAATCCAAGAGATAATATCAATGATTATCAGAAAAGGTCCTTAGAGTGGGCAAAGATATTGGATTATCGACAATTATAATAAACAAATAGATCTCATTAAGATCATAAAAGTCGACCTAATTGAACTTTGGTAATTAAAATCCCTTCCAATCATATAACAAGAGCTACAAATACAAAGAAAGGTAAATTTACCTTAAGTGTTGGTATTTAATTATTTCGGTAATTATACCGAAAGAAATCTCTTGATATATGAAAATATTAATATAAATCCAAAGCATTCAAATGAATACACACTGAATAGTAAATATGTAAATTGATACAATAATCATATTGGAAATTAAGTGATTCAAATGAAAATCAGGTTTATTGTCCTTTTGATTTAATAATGAGGAAAGTCACAAGTTAGTTAACATCAAACACTAAGTCTTTCTGATATCTTAATTGTCTTCCTATTATTATCATAATACAATGTCAACTTGAAATAATCTCAATGTCACTTTATTTGTCTCCATTGAAGATTTACTTGATTTGTTTTGTTTCTGTCGGTTATTAAATTGGAATCAGATTAACGACTTAAAATAACAGTGATGATCCGTAAAGTGGTTCCCCAATATTGATAAACAATCAAATCTAATTGAGGGTGTAGAATGAAAATCAATGATTAGTAATCAAATTACAATTGCTATCTGGCTTAGAACCAAGAATAATCTTAATATAATAGCATAATTATAATACCTGGGAAATAACCAAAGGATGAGCAAAGAATATAAAAATTTCAACAATTCGCATAATCTGAATATTAGTGTTTCGTTTAAACAATAAACTACTAATCAAATTAGGTTGTTAGTTATTGGTTTAAATGAGAAGCAATTTACGAAATTAACTTGAATTGAAATGTTTCCATTGATCTTATCCTTGCTTGTCAGTTTAATTGATGTTAATTGTGCCACTATTGATCCAGTTGTATCAACTCGTTATGGTCCAATTCAAGGTTTGAATGGATTTTACAATTTAACTAATTTCCAATATAATTATCAAGCTTTTCTTGGTATTCCATTTGCTGAGCCACCGTTGGGAAATAAACGATTCCAATTACCAGAGTATTTTAATTCAACTTGGTTAAAACCATATCAGGCCACTTATTTTCGTGATGGTTGTGCTCAAAAGCCCTCGAAAGATTTGAATTTCAATATAAGTGAAAACTGTTTATATTTGAATCTATGGAGACCAGAATTTGATGATAAGGAGAGTCAATTGTTGCCGGTGTTTTATCATATTCATGGGTCTGGATATACTTCAAGTTCAGGATCAATGCCGGATTGTCGGGGTGAAATCTTGGCTGCGACTCAGAAGATTATTGTTGTTAATTCAAATTATCGACTTGGAGCTTTTGGATTTGCTTTTGGTGAACATGATGAAATGCCAGGTAATCTCGGCATTTATGATACCCTTATGGTACTAAAATGGATCCACGATAATATAAGGTCATTTGGCGGAGATCCTGATCGTGTTACATTAACTGGTCTAAGTGCGGGATCCAAAATGGTTTCAATAATCTCGAGTTTAGCCAATACAAGGCAATTGTATTCACGATTAATTATGATGAGTGGATCAGCGACTAATCAGATTCACATGGATTCCCATGAAACTGGTACTATGAAGACTAAATTCTTGGCACGAAAGGTTAATTGTTTAAGTGTTGGTGATGAATTAAAGTCTTCTATTAAATTGTCAATGGAGACAATTGATTGTTTGAAGAAAGTATCAACTGATGATTTGGTACAAGCTCAAAGTTCAAAGGAAATCAATGGAATCGGAGCTTCAGAAATTACAGCTTTTCTACCAGTTTATGGAACCAAGTTAATTCCTAATCCACCAATGGTTAATCACGCTAATCATCTCGAAGATAATCAAAATGTACCCATGCTTTTCGGCTCTGAACAAGACGAGGCTTCAATGTTTATAACAGAAGCGTCACTTGCAACTCTTTCAACGATCCAAGATGCTTATGAATTTACCAAAGATCGAGTCTCCTTTGCGATCAAAAATCTAACTACAGATCAATTTGAGGCCATTTTTAAGCTTTACTTTGATGAAGCCGATCCGACAGATTATCTCGATATAAGGTCACGTTGTGTGAAATTTTGTTCTGACATGAATTACAAGTGTCCATCTCTTATTTTATCAGAATTTCTCTCTCAGGTAAATGATGATATTTTCTTTTATAGAAATGTTTACACCGGTGAGAATCTCTCTCGTCCTTATGGAACCAAACATGGTGACGATTTGCTATTTGGACTTGGTGCTCCATATCGACATTATGATAACTATTCCCCTTCCGATCGGCAATTTAGCTCCATCATGTTGGAAATTTTCGGCAATTTCACCAAAGGTATTCCATTAAACGATTGGACATCAATTAAATTGGATAAAAACGATCCAAATGCATTACAATTAATCAAACAATTCTCACTTAATCCAAGAAATGTAATTGAACATAGTCAGTACTTTTGCAGTGAATGGGCCGAGCTTTACAATTACTCGATACCATAGAGATTGTAATCATCCCAAAGTGTTTGGAAAATAAATTGTCACCCTAAGATAAAAGAAAAGAATAGAATTAAAAAAATAATAATCTTTCCAATTTGATCTTAAATCTTTATTATCGCCAAGATTTGTTACAAAGTGTCACCTTGTAGTGTCTCTAAATCAATAGATATACTTACAGTCTCACACTATTGTTTAGATGATATTTGCTGTCAATTATCAGGTTTCCGTTGACTTTGGATGACTAGTTAATCAGGTTAGAGTGAAAGAGGATTAATATTACAATTTGATAGAAAAATTCAAAAAAAGAGAAAACCAAAATTACTGTAAATAAGATTCAAGAATAAAAAACTTACCTGTTCCATTTAAATAGTGAAATTTAACCTCGTTCAAACAATTAATCCACTATTAAGAGTCACAAAGTTTAGACGAAACACAATTAAATTAATTGAAACACTTAATTAGCAACCTTGATTTAGAATAACAATTAAATTGTAAACAAAAATGTTTTTGTTTTGATTTCAAGTCCAAGGGATCGTTGAGAAATTTAAACTTGTACCGAAAAGAAGGAAAAAATTTTCCGATTAATTGTTAATTCTCATCATGATAATTAACTCTGTTAATCGTCAAAAGAAGTCAATTAATTGTTCTAGAACTAGAATTAGTCTGATTATGTTGGTTGGAAAAGAGGTTATATCAAATTGTGAAGAAAAAAAGTTTTTTTTCTCAATTTTTCTCTCATTTTAATTAACTTTTCATGAACAACAATTAGTTAGTTAACTGTAATTATATGAGCATCATGATTGTCTCATCAATTTGGTTAATTAAAATTTTTAGTTGGCAAAAAATCAAAGCTAATCAACAATCAATGATTCATGTTGATTCCCAGCTTGAGATTGATGATCAACATTTCGAGTTGTGATTAAAGTTAATCATGAGTCTTAATTGTAATGATGATCAGACAAATACGGAGGTGGTTGGGTGTTTGTAATGAACCAAATTTTAATTGACAATTAGAATCAATGAATCCTGATAATCAGTGAAAACTAAATCATTTTAACAAAAAGAGAGATGATTAAGTTTTTCATCACCCAAACAAAATTAATCATCAAATTGAAAGGCGTTGACTTTCAAATGATCAACGATAATCATGATTAAGATAATGATTAAGTTGATTGTGTGTGTTATTAGTTGAAATCAATTAAATAGATCATCAATAAACATCATCATCATCATCATCATCTTAATCATGGAAACACAATCAACAAAACCAACACCAGAAAAGATTAACAAATGAAATTGACTTGAAAACTTTTCGATCAACCAATTTAATTGAACAATTAGAAAAGGTAAATGTTGATGAAGATGAAGATGAAGATGATTAAGATGATGACAGTTTACAATTACAAAATTGATTGTTCCATGAAGGAAGAGAACAAGTTTTTTTTATTATCGAATATAAAAAAAAGTTCTGACCAGAATCTAAATGGTCAATTTAGTTCAATTATTATTACCGTTATAAAGAGAGTCATCTCTTCATCTTCATCCTCATCTTGATGATGAAGATAATAAGAAGCAACAAGTTAATCACTGTACCAATCAGAGTTTCATCTTAAATTGTTAATCTTAATTCTCGAATTATCTTTTTTTTTCTTCCTCTTTATTACTTCCTGTTGACAGTGGGACTTAATTTGGACCGGATTTAGTTTTTCCGTTCATTTGAATTCTGGTCATGACAATTAGTTGATTGTAACTCGACAATCAACAAATTGTCACATGTAAATGTCGAGATTAAGTTTAAGAATAGAAAATGAAAAACTTTTTCTCCTTAAAATCTGATTAATCATCATGCTAATTGTTGATAACAATCAACAAATTATTTCATTTTTTATTAATAATTAACATGAATAAACTTTCACCACAATCAAAGCATTAAATCAATCAATTGACTGATTGATTAACTTTAATTGGAAATTGACAATTAACGGTCAACAATCATTATTTGGTAATCTTTAATTGTTACTAATAGATTTCAATTGAACTTGAGACTATAAATGGATATCGCTTAATTGATTGAGTTAATTGTTATAACAATTTAAATTGACCGACAAGTTTAATTAAACTTATTAACTAAATTAAAGGTTAAAAGTGCACAAGCAAAAGTGAATCAATTTAATTGAAATCGTTAAATAGCAAAAAGTTAATTGCTGTAAATCTGGAAAAAATTATTCTCAATCAACTCAATTGAAACAATTAAAAGCACAACAATACAATAGTTTATTACATAAACAAAATTAACCACAATTAATTTCCCCAATTAAGACTGATTTGTTCAAACTAAAATAACTAACTGAAAGTGATTAATTTAATTATTAATAGTAATTCAGATCAATTGAGATAAAACGTAAACATTGTTGATATTATGACTTCGGTGTGAATACAATTGATTGTACAATATCAATAATCTTAATCACAATCAATTAAATCATTAGAATTGAGCTTCATGTCAAATGTTCACATATTAATTCATTGCTAAATCAGTTGATTGTCGATCGGCAATTGATATTATTAAATTTACACGAATTGTTGACCAATTTTTGGACAAAAGTTCGTGATTAGTTATATTTGTATGGTCGTAATTTAGTATTAAATTAACAATCAGGGTTAAACTGAATCAACAAGAAGAACCACAAAACAATTTATTCCTTATCGTGTATTAATCTGATGATGATGGTGATTAAATTGCAAGATAACCTGTCGATAATTAGGTTAACAGATGATAATCATCATCATCTTCATCTTCATCTTCATCTTCATCTTCATCCGCATCTTCATTTTCATCTTTTCATCTTCCTCTTCATCATCAAATCCTTTTTCTGGTAAAACAAACAAACAAAAATCAAGTTCAACAATCAAGTTTAAATCAACTGGTTGTTCAATTGTTGTGATCATGTATTTGTATTTGATCAGTAACAATTTACTGATTGTCTTGATTATCATGTTTCTAAATTATCTCTCTTATTACAATGATAGAGTTTACAACAATCAGAACATTTAATCATCGACTTATCGATTTGATCAATTTTCCTTAATAAAATCCAATCAATTCGTATCTCTTTTGATGGCCATTCAACTTTTCCACTTGATTTACATGATACAAAATGAGAAACAATTAAGTTTTCATGCAAAACATAATTAATTCATTTCCATGGTATCAAACAATTAAATCAACTCGCAACCATGGAAACAAATCACTAAACTAAACTTTTATCAACATTTAATCAACACATCATTACCTTGACAATGTAAAGTTAATTGTTGTTTCTTAGCTTAACTTGATGCTAACCCAATCAAAATAACAATTAACTAAACAATTAAGAAATTTTATCAATAGCTAAACTTTTTTTTACCAATCATGAGGAAGTGAATTAAAAATTTTCCAATTAATTAACTGATAAAGTTTGTTTAACACAAAAATATCAACTTTTTGAGTTGTGATCAATTCAGTTTCCCAATTGAAACCATTTAAAATGATACATTAATAGTTATTAATTAACTTTTCATTTTCTCAAGTGATTTCAAGTTGATTGAATGATTAAAATTGATTGTAATCAATTGATAAGCGATAATAATATTAATCCAAACTAATTTTGAACATTACTGATTATCGAGAGAAACAAAATGTTAATATATTTACTTTAATTACCTTTTAATTACAATCTAAAGGCCTTAATCGTAACGTGATTAATTAAAGGCTTGCGGTTATCATTATTAACACAGTTAGGAAAAGATTTCAAGTAAAAATCAATTCATGACAATCAAATCAGGGAAGTGATTGTAATCATGAGGATACTTAATTATGATTAAGAAAATCTCAATAAGAGACAAAAACAATTTAAGAAGTGAAATTAAATTTAAATTGGAAAACATTTTCTAATTGATTAAGATAATTGTTTTTTAATTAATTCATTTTCTAGGTGTAAATATTTGCTCTAAAGGGCAATTTGGCTGGAGGGCAATTTCGTATCTTCGAGTTACCTCTTCCGGCTTACGAACCGATACAAATTGAAATCGACGAATTATATTAATTAGGTAGATCTTCATTTCGAGTAAAGCATAACGGTAACCAATGCAATTTCGAGGCCCAAGGGCAAACGGGGTAAATGCACCTTTGGGTAAAATGGTCTCGTTTTCGAGTGACCATCGATCTGGATCATATTTAAGCGGATCTGGGAAAATTTTGGCATCATGATGAGTTGCACTGAAATTAAGGATAACCACTGAGTTTTTCAGTATCTTGGAACCGTTAATGGTGACATCTTCATCTAATTGTCGGGAAACTCCATGAATCGGTGGGTTTAACCTGAGTGACTCTTTGAGACACTGGTCAAGAAATTTACATTGAGCTAATTTATCTAAATCATCTGTCGGTGTATCATCAGGGAAAATTTCAATAATCTCTTGATATAAACGCTCCTGAATTTCAAGATTATTACCTGAAAGGAAATGGCAATCAAAATGAATGGAAATCTATCAACCAAACAAAAAGTACTTTGAATAGCAAACTCACCTAAAGTGAATAATGTCCAACGTAATCCAACTGAAACTGTCTCATGTCCAGCAGCGGCCATGGTCAGTAGTTCCTCGTCAATACCATCTCGGTCAATTTGTACTTTACCTGTCTCATTGTTGTGCTTTATAAAATCGTACAAAGAACCGTTATCTTTATCGTAAATATCTAAATGATTATCTTTTCCACCGTCATCATTGTTATTCATTTTCGCCATGATTTTCGTTTCTCTCTCCTTTTGCTTTAGATTCTCAACGAACTCAAGCCCTTCAACGACTCTTTGCAAGTTTTCCTGGTACTTTTTACCTGCTTCGAACCTCAAATATAATCCAGTGTACCAAAATAACGGATTATAAACTCTCTGGATAAAATATACTTCACCTTTGTTAAGAACATCCAACCAGATACGTTTCATGTCATGACATTCATCACAGGGAATTCCCCAGGAGATTTCAAGAATCACACTTAGAGCACTTTCATGAATAAGATTTTCAATATCGTAAGGTTGACCAATTTTATCCATAATTTGATCGGGCAATTTACTTATTTCTTTATCCATAACTGATGCAAAATGTTGATGTCTTTTCGTCTTGAAAAAAGGTTCAATAAACTTACGACGAACTCGCCATTTATCAGGATCGGAAGTAACTAAACCATCTCGAAGTCCAATAAACTTATAGAAATGAGGCTTGGTGATATTAGATTTTGATAGAACAGCCTAATGTTAACAACGAAAGAGACACGGAAAGTTTAGTTCTAATGACCTTTGGAATATAATTACATTGGTTCAATCAAGTTCGTACCTCAATTCCGGCGGCACCCGAAATTATATAAACTGGAAGCCAACCAATCCACATGATTGATACGTTATCACCTTTAACGGGATCATTTAACTTCATCATTAACTCGTAAAAGTTTTCTAAGCAAAAACATTACAATTGAAACAATTAGAACCAAATAAACTCAGAGAAAAACATCAAAATATATCACCATGAAAATGAACTTCACTCACTTGATGAATCTTTTAAATCATAACTTGGATCTGGAAATTTGGGTATGAGGTTCCGTAGATGACCATAGATCGGATGACATGGAGTATAATGGAATCGATGAGCATAATATATATGGAATATCAAATTCGAGATCGGCACATAGACGAAATAATATAACGTTAAAAGAATCATCGAATAAGTTGTAAATTCGAAAAATATTTTCATATAATTGCCTAAAATGGGCAGTATGACATCCATTGCAATAGAATTACAATGAATACACTTGGGGAACTTTGGATGGAAAAGTGTTAAGGTGAATTCCCAATAATCAAATGAAGATTTTCTCTTAAATCCGATTAGCTTAAATGCTCACAACTCTATGATTTAAACTCTCTCACACTAGACAAGATAGACAAGACTAATAGAACCCCGAGGCTGGAGAAAGCCTGAAAGGGTAATTCGGTTAACTATTATGAGAGAAACTGGTTAAACCAGAAGACTGACTAATTTTAATCATAATTAACTGTTTGATCAATGGTAGAAAAAACTCCTTAATTATTGAATAAAGAAGAAATTTTCACGCTAATTAAACTTTCGAATCGTTTAAAATAGTCAATTGGAAATTAATATTCATCATTAGCGAAATTAAATAATACTAATTGACTAGAATTTATTAGCTGAATTATTTTTAGCTCTCGCTCTCTCTCTCTCTCTCAGGCAACCTCAATGAATTTCCCTTCCACGTGGTGTCCATCTTATTTACCTTGATTACGATTTTCAATCGAAATAAATTTCAAGGTAATCAGGCAAATTTCCTGATTTCAGACTAATGATCGTAAAGTAGTAACGAGCAGCGATTAGTTGAACAGAATTCATATCGCTAATTTGATGCTATTAAATCAATTGCCACTGATTAGGTTTAACTAATATCATTTTTTGATTGTGAGAAGGTCAAACAATCAATTCAATTGTAAAAACTGACAAAAGTGATCAGAAAATAATTAAGAGATACAATCAAATTGCTTCTCTCTCTTTTCAGTTGATTACCTTAATTGTTCAACAATTGGTCAACTTAAATTCAACTATTAAGTTTGCATGTTAATCATTTAGGGAATTTTCATCAAAATCAATGTTTATCTAAATGATTATCCAAATGAATAACAATTGAGATTCATAATTTTGACAACAATTAATTCCTGTGTTAATAACTTGGGTTGTAAACTAATTAACAAGCTATTGACTGATTGCTGTCAATTGTCACCTTTTATTTTCCCTAATTAGTTATTATCATGATGATTTACAGAGTAAATTTTCATTGATAGTAATCAAACCGGTTAACAGTTTAATTAAATTGTAAAAGTTTCCAAGGTAAACAATTTATGTTGAAATTCATTAATCTCTCCTCCTTTTTCACCAGTGTAATTATAATTAAATCAATTCCTTGGAAAGGTAATTTAACTAAATTTTGATTCAATTCAGTTGTAATTGTTTCATTTTCATCGATAACTTGATAATAACAATTTGATTGTAAAAGTTTTTGTCAAATGTTATCAAGTTAATCTCATCATCATCATAATGATATTTAGTGTTAATAATTTACAGCTCATTGATAAATCGTTAATTAACTTAATTGTAATTGTTTTATTGGTTTTCATTGTTAAAAAGGTTTACAACCTAATCAAATTTCTTAATCATTATTGTAAATTTCCAAGGGATGTTAATTGTTCATATCTATTTGGTGATGTGATTAAATTGCTACCTGATTATTGGAACACTGAATTAGCAACATATCAATGTGAGTCTAATCCACAACCGGATTAAGGTTGATTTCATTTTCATAATCTTTTCCTTGACAATCATCAAGTTTGATTGTAAATATTGATCAGATTCTCAATTAACTACAATTTATTTCAATATTTTTTCCAATCAACAGTTAATACAACTAACTTTTTTGTCCGAACGGCTTCTGACCATCAAGCTAAATCGGGTCTTTATGTGATCTGGATTAGTTGGTCACCTTTGGTTTTTTTATGTGACTATAAATGTGTCGAGGTGATTAACTGTTATCTAGAGTTTTTAATTGTTTCCTCGATTAATTATGATTATCTCTCTCTCTCTCCAACAATAGATATTGATGAGTAAAAACTCGATAAGTAAACCGGCATTCTATAAGTTTATTGGACTTAAAGAGGGTTTGGTCACTTCGAAAGGTGATAAATGGAAAATGAGACGAAAAATGATTGAACCTTTTTTCGTTAGTAAACAACAGAAAAACTTTATACTGACCATTGACCAAGTCTTTGGTTCGCTGATAAATGAGGAACTGGTCAAGCTTTCGCATAAAGGGAAACCTTTAAACCTCGCTGAGCATATTCATTCATCGACTTGTGATATTATCTTTCAAGTGACCTTGAATATGCCGGTGGACACAAATAAAGAGGATAAAGTTCACATGATTAAGACTATCGAGGTAATGGAATCGGTAACGATGGCGAGAATATTCAATCCGCTTATATGGAACGATCGACTTTTCCGAACAACTAAATTGGGCAAAGAAAATTATCAAATGACCAATAAGGTGTATCGATTTTTTGATTCTTCGGTCAAGCAAATTTTTGATCACAATTCTAATGAAATCAATGGTCAAGAAAATAACAATCGATCTTCGTCCAGCAATTTCGTGGATTTACTTATGAGCTCTAATAAGGGCAAAATCGATTCGGAAGGAATAAGTGAAGAACTGTTCACAACTGTCGCCGCAGGGCATGAGACTACAGCTACTGGACTTAACTGGACATTGTTCATCTTAGGTAAGATCTTAAGGTCATTTAACCTTCAAGTTATCTCAACTTTTTTTCTCATTTCTTTCAGGAAATCGTCTTGATATTCAAGATAAATTATATCAAGAAATTACATCAATGTTTCCTGACAACGAACCAGTTAATGATATTGAGAAAGTTAATCAATGTGAATATCTTGATAAGTGTATTAAGGAGTCGATGAGACTTTATCCTCCAATACCGTTAATTGGAAGAGATCTAGATGAGTCCATCGATATGAATGGTTATCGTTTACTTGCCGGAACGACCGTCGTATGCAACATTTTGGTATTCATCGTGATCCCAGAATTTATCCTAATCCCTCTCAATATAATCCTGAACGTTTCGACTCATCAAATATAACTGATATTCCTAAAGGGGCTTATTTACCCTTCGGCGTTTCACCGAGATACTGTATTGGTTATCGATTTGCACTCATTGAGATGAAAGTTTTTCTCATTCATATTATTAGAAGATTTGAAATTCTATCAGTAAAGAAACTCGAAGATGTTTCCGTCATCATTGAATTCGCTTTGAAACCTTCATGTCCCCTGAAATTATGCTTCACGAAAGAGTCAATTCGTAAAGTTCACTCATCAACCGAAATCTTTGCAAATCGACCTATGTAAATGACCTAAGAATCGACATTCGGGTGAAACAATCAATCATCATTTTATTTTTTCTCAATTCAAATCATTTTGCTAATCCAATCGAATTAAAATTCTGTTATTTTTTTCTTCTTCTCTTTCATTCATGTCATTCTGTCCAAGGAATCGAGAAACATCTTGGATTATGATTTTTACGAATCGAGAATTGATTTGATGAGAAATTTTCAAGGAAAACAAGAGAAAGTTATAAATTTTCGCGCGAATTTGAAAATCTGAAAACAGAAAAATAAGAAAACCGATTCATTCTTAACCTGTTTCAATGAGCCGATCTGATTAAGGTTACAATTTAAAGGTGAAATAAATTGGGAAAACAATTAATGGTTGATAGTATATAAAAAAGACCAATATAGTTTATTGATGGAAACTTTTTTTGGGATGATTACCGTTAATTGTATAATCAAAGTTTATAAGTTGTTTTATAAAATGTTGTTGATTATCATGTAAGATATTAAGACTAGATAAATAGTTCTTGTTGAATAATTGAAGGCACATTCAAAATAAATAAGGATTTTTTTTCGTCATTTTTACCAAACGTATTTTTTTGTGTTGTTTTTTTTTCACCTTTTTTTGCCTTTTTTTGTTGATTTTTTGTGTTTGTTTACTTGGAGTTTGCATTTTTCCTTCTTGTGTTGTTTAATTGTGTATTAATTGTTGATGTTGTTGATGACAATGCATATTGTTTATATGTTTGTAGGTGATATTATGTTTCGTTGTCATAGAGATGGAGTAAAAAAAAAGTTATTCAATGTTTGATGATTGAAATTGTTGAAACATATTGTCAATAGATAGATAGAGATACCTGAATGTTTATATAATGGCTTTTGGGTATTTTTTCAATGTTTTTTTGTTTTCTTCATGCGTTTTGTTTTGATAAATATCATAGGTTTTGATGGCATTGGTTTGTTTTGTTTTGTGGGGATTATGTTTTGTGGGTATGGTGGTTAATCTTGTTGTTGAGTGGATTGTAATTGGCATTCTTAATGTTAATGTTTTTAGTTGGGTGGTGATCGGTTGGGATAAGATTTTTGGACATGCGGTGAAATTGGTGACAATGTTGTCACAAGTAATGATAAAATGACAGCCATTAAAAGGGTTATTGTAAGATAGATGAAAAAATATTTTGTGCTTGTTGCTTTTAGGGTTGAAGTTGTGGTTGATTTAGATGAGGTTAATTGTTGAGAATAGGTTTGAGTTGATAAGGAATTGTAAGAACATGAGGATTTAAGATTGAATTTCATGGCAATATTGTTATCTTCCTGAGCTAATGTTTCGGGTTGAGCTTTGGCTAAGACTGAAAAGGGGACAAGATCATCAGTGATTGTATCAGCATTTGCATCAATATCATCATTTGGAGCATTTACTCTTGCATCTTTGATGATAAAAGTCGAGGCCAATGCTGGTAAAGCAGAAGCCCCTTGAATCATGGCAGCAGAATTTGGTAAACTTTCAGTGGTAAAGTCCAGTGAATCAGCTGTTTCTGTACCATTGATTGATGAGCAGGTTATATTGGGAGAAGATGTGAAAAATTTATTCTTTTTACCTCGTAATAATTTACTCTTACTATCACCACCAGAGAAACTACCACCACCACTACCACCGGCATGAGAAGTCTTTGACCAGGGTCGATCTGAATGAGTTCCAAGTGAATCGGTTAAACTACGAGATGAACTTTCCTCTTCATGGGAAGCTAATTCTTCAGATGCTAAAAAAATAGACATAAAAGTAAAACAACAATATGAGCAAAAGTATTTTAAGAGATTGGTAATCATTTGTTATCCAGGAAGAGGAAACAATCAATTAATTACAATGAACAGACATATTGCAGTTTCAATTAATAATGAACATTATCCAATAACACAATTTATTGATTGGAGAAACAATCAACAATTGAATAGAAATGAAGTAAACAACCAATCAATTTAAATGCAAATAAGAATCAACATGAAATCAATTACCTTTTAAAATGCCATCATCAGTTTTGAACCATCTCTCATAATTTTCACCGAATTCAGTTAAACTCCGAACAAGATTTTCATCTTCAAATGAATTTAAATCTTCAGAACCTGAGAGATTGTAAAAAAAAGACAAATTAATTAGTCGATTGATTATCAAATCAGTAGCCATTCAAATTCAAATGAAATTTGTTCCCAACGTAGTAAATGATTGGTTGAATCGCTTGTCAACTTTAATTACAATTGTAACTGATTTTTGCTGGTCAATGACATCGAAATGAGATGAATGTGAAAAAATTTCAATCCATACAATTTACGCAAATTTATGGCTAATAAAAGTCAAGGGAATTGTTATAATTATCATCATGATTGTAATCATGGCAATTTCATTGAAAATTATACTAAACACACACACACGATAATAGTAATAATCATTACATAGGAATAGCAAAATTATACATGGAAAGAGGAAACTCAGCATTTATGTCAAGGTGGAGTGGTTTTAGTAAATCACATTATCTTCATCATGATCATCAGATATCGTGAATTTTCAGGGTAATCACATTTTTCTCATACATGTAAAAGTTACATTGTATCAGGTAATCAGACACACCTACTAATACTCTGGATATCAAATTAGTATCAGTTATTTTCTCATATACTCAAAGATAGACAACATACTGACCATAACAATGAAAGAGAGAAAGAGAAATGAAAAAGGTAAATGTCCAAGTGAAAGTACATTTACCTTATAAATACTCTAACTGGACAACAACAGTTTTCAAGGATCAATAAACTTTGACATACACAAAGAAAAAAATGAATTATTTTGAGGGAGAAAATTATCATCAAGTGAGAGTAAAAAGAGAGAACCTTATCAAGCATCCCTTTAATGCACGCACACATACCAACTGATGATGATGATGATGATGATGATGATGAGGATAATGATATTTAACTCTATTGAGAAACATGAAATATCATTTAAGACAATTTTCCAAGTTGTATGTAAATATGAATGAAGGTCAAAAGCAGAGTTCAATTGAATCTATTATCGACTATCAAATAATCAGATGATAAAATCATCTTTCCAATATTAAAGTGAGAGTGTGACCTCTGGGCCCATAAAAATATCACGAACATAAATGAATATATAATTAGCGAATCATCAAAATACAACTAATGTTTGTACATTAAGGTAAAAATTACCAACAGCTAATCAAATATTTACCCATTTAAAGTCTGCTCATCATGAAGATGTAAAAAAGTAACTGTAAAATTAAGTTTTTTTTAGGTAATTAGGTGAATTGAATCAACTCCCTTAATATTGTCAACATATAGTAGATCACATACTAAATAATGTTGTTACCATGATTAAAATCAACAACATAAAAGTTTTGATGTAGAGATGATAATCAAAAATATGAAAAAGATATTTTCATTAGTATAATTAGTAGATGATTTTAAAAAAATAAAGACAAGCCAAAATTCAAAACACGATAAATGATCATTATTATCATTAGATAATTATCATCATCAGGGTGAAATTAAAAAAATTATAATTCTCTATGAAAAATATATATTGTAAAACTATCAACAAAGATGAAGTCATCATCCTAATAACAATTACATAATCATTTTTTAATGAATATGCAATAGACAACAAAAACAGATCAACTCTAATCCAGGTAAATACATAATTAAGGTATTGGATAAATTGATGAATATAAAGACACATGTAGAGGTTCATGAATGGATACACATTTACACACCCACCTAGAGAGTAAAGGTGTAGAGGTGGAAGATGAAAATGGGAGAAATAACAGAGAGAGAGAGAGAGAGCAGATTGTGATACGGGTGGAAGAGCTTGATAATAAGGAGGAAGATGAAAATTATGAGAGAAATTTAAAGAAAACAATTAAAAAAAACTATGTACTATTCAGATTATTCATATGATAAACACCCTAAACATGATTTTACCTTTAGCATTCATTTGGTGTTATCATTTACCTGGTTACAGGGGATTAATTTTAATACCATTTAATTGAAGGACAAGATGATAAGTAACTTAATCATAATAATACCATGAGGATTAATTAATATTTACTATTTGAATGATGACGATTGTCATCATTACTGTATTATTGTATTTAAATTCTGGATCACATTATGATTATAATTAACTGACCTTGGAGGGGAATGTAAATATAACTGATTGCTAACCTTTTCTCATTGTCATTAAGTTTTACATTTAAATGATTAATTCAACATCGGAAGAGGCAAGGGTTGGATAAGTTCAACATTAATTCAATATTTATGTTTAAATACAGTTATATGTTGCCTAGAGAGACAATTAAATAGTAATCATCATTTAAATTGTGGGTTGACAATCAGATGGTGATGATGAGGTTAGTGTTATTGTATTAGATTGACATGCAATAAAACGTTCAACTAATCAACAAGCGACTTGTGATGATAATCAAAAGTACATAATGAGTGTTATTTGGGAAGTGGGTGGAAGGGAGGAAGAGAGCGAGAGAGAGAGAGAGAGAGAGAAGAGGATGTTGATGATAAAGATGGATAAGAAATATAAATAGAGACTGATGATAATAATGATAGAGAAAGTGATAAGAGAGATAAGTTTAATGTAATAAATGTTGATAAAAGATGAGATTTGTTGAGAGTCCATGATGACCAAACCCAGAAAATTGTGATAAAAATGATAAATTTAATCACAATTAAGTTTGTTAAGATAATTAACACACACACACACAAATGATTAGACATTTAAATTGCTGTATGAATACAAATAGAGTATCAAACAATTGAGCTAATTGTTAAAAGTGAAAAGAGGAGAAATGAACAACAAAAAGATTGAGTTCACTTTTTTTGCTGACCAATTACTGACCATTCAAGATAATTGTACATGAGTGAGTATTGAACAAATTACAAACAATCAAAGATAATCAGATTATTGTTAACATTTAAATAGCAATAATAATAATTATACAATTATAATAAACACAATGAAAGTAATCAAGATAATATCTATTTAATTGTACTCATGTTGATAGTTGGTCATCTTGAGTCAAATCAACGAAATGGTCATCGAGTTGGTGTAACTCAATTGTTAAATTAAATTACAATCAAGAGGAAATTCCCGTCAACATTTATCATATTTTGTATATATATAATTTATATTTCTTATTCAACAATTAAAAATGAATTAAATCAAGGACTCAAAGATTAAATGATAATCATGATTCTGAGAATGACATGAATAACGTTTCATGAGGGTTATATTTAATTCATGGTAATAAAAGTTAATGAATGAGATTGAGAAAAAAAGTTTCAAGTGAAAGTTTGAAACAATTAAATGACAAGATTAATGTGATGATGATCAGAAATAAATTAGATCATAAATGATAAAGTTAATCATCGGGAAAATATTAATCAAAAGTGAAAGTAAATTGTTACAATTTAAAGGTAATAGGTTGGGTGAAATGGTTTTATCAATCAATTTGAATCAAATTAAGGAAGGAATCAAAGTACACCCAAGTTAAGTTAAAAACTAATCAACATCATCAAATATCAATGGTCATCATCATCATCACAATTGATTAGAAAATACAAATTATGGTTTCAGTTAATTGATATAAATAATCAAGTGGAAACTGATCGATGAGTGGGCAGTTAAGAGGATGGAAAAGTTCAAGAGGAAAGTCAACTCAATACTGATCCCTCTCATCATCATCATCATGATAAAGTCAGAAAATAGATGAATTCAGATGAGATAAACTTCACCAACGCCTACTGATTATCATCAACAGAAAGGTAAAGGTAAAGATTGAAAGGTTAGGTCAAAATGTACCTTGATTATTGTTCAATTCAAGTTGATTGTGAAAAGAGATTAACATTTGATTATATGACCGAGATTTGTTATTAAGCAGAAACTTATTAAAAATATATTGGAAAGAAAAAGTTTCTCTCATTTGAATAAGTTGCGATTAAAAAAGTTCATGAAAAAAATTATTGAGAAATCAGATCAACATTAGATTAAATCAATGAAATCAATTCAAATTTAGATGAAGGAGAGAGAAAGTTTAATAGATACAAGGTAGTGGAGGGCGTGAGGGAGGGATAAAAGAGGAGTGAGAGTGTCAACAATCATGAATCGCAGCTTAAGAGGAGATCAAGAGTGAATTTAAATCGTAACTCAAACTTTCTGAAATGATTCAGAATGGAAAATAAATAAAAGTTTCTCAATTGATTTAACATGCAACATGAAAACCAGAATACAAGGTTTTAAAGAGCAATTTCAGTGATAATCAAATGATAATCAAACAATTTAATTGTTCAACTATTTTTGAACATATTTAAACAATTAGAGAGGAGAGAGAAAGAGAGATATCGTAAAGCTTAATTGTAATGAGATGAGAAAAGTATAAAAGTAAAACTTGATAGACTTGGAGATTCACAACAAGGTAAAATCAAGGTAAATGGAAATCAGAATTCAAGATTACTTGAAATCTATTATCAGGGTAGATGGATGAGTGAATGAAGATAACAAATTGCTAAGCATGAGAGAAGATTGAAAATAATGAAGATGATGAAAAAAGGATTGAAAGGGAGAGAGAGAGAGAGAGATAAAAGGTTTCTTATAAATCAAAGAAATAATAACCAGGGGAGAGGTTTCAATGAGAAAATCATATTGGAATCAAGAAGAAGAAAAAATTGAGATTGAGTAAACAAAAGGAACAGGATAAGACCTTGAAGGGATTCATACAATTTCGGCCTGAAAAAAGATGATGATGGCGATCATCAAGTCCTTCAGCAATAATGTTGCAAGAACTCATCACGATTCATATAACAGAAGAAGATAAATGATGAGATGGAGAGAGAGAGAGAGAGAAAATTACTAAATAAGATGGGGAAGAGATGATCAACATTTTTGTTGTTCTTTTTTTCTGATAAAAAGGTAAGATATGATTTTCATTATACTGAAGAAATCATGTTAGTTGGAAATGAGGTAGTTCGATGATTGATTTATTAAGATAATGAAACTCAATTAAAACGATAGATAAGGAAATGATTACGGATTGAAATTAAAC